GAACTTCAAGAAAAATGGTGTAATGTTAAACTTCTTCACACTTAGTGGCATTGAACCCTCTGTTGTACATTCCTTGGGAAATGGGTACATATTTTTTTCATTTCTGGTTTGGCAGTATTTCTCACATTTTATCAGGTATCTTTATGAATTGCTTACTTCATTTGTTGATCTTTTATGGTAGATCATAAGTTTTTGTGAGAACACATTGTCTATTGTGATCATGTATTGTGCCCAGTGTTTAACATAGGACCTGGCCTGTGTGGGTTCTGTATAAATTTGTTCAGTTCTCAGAAGAAGGAAATCATGACATTCAATGATTAAGTAGATACTTGCTTCAGAGTCTGATTCAGTCAGCTGTAGTGTACTTGCCTATGTATAGATCATCCCATATCTTGATGTGGTGCATTTGTGGTGCATATATGTACTTCTTGGGCCCTAAACTGCCCTGTCTATAGGCTAGCAACCCTCTGATGCATTTGTGCACCAGGAAGACAAGCATGAATATTTCTATTAGTGGAAGTTAGATACAATTCAGAATGTTGAGGTTTTTCTTGTATGACATATACATACAACAGAGTATAAAGATGTCTTGGTATCTGTATCAGTTATCTGTACTTCTGCTGAGCCCTTTGAAGCAGACATTTGAATGTTGACAGTAGTTGGATGAATATGTGAGTGAGGGATGAATAGCCGAGCTGCCCATTTTGGGGAATGGATGATGCAGGGAAGATACCAATTCACACTGGAAAGGCTATTTCTCTGCAAATCAGTCTGCCAATGCTCAGAAATCCTGGTTTAGTTTCAGAAGCCAGGTATCTGCTTGGATGAGGCTCAAGGAAGAGATCTGGAAAATAGCCAGGGCTTCTAATATTAAGGGCTTTCAAAACCAGCAAGGCTAACCTCTGGTCAATTCATCACTTCATGAAGAGCCAAAGAGAGACTCTAGAGTGGATGTAATGTTATCCAGCTTGCTTATGTGAGCCAGCAGTTGTGCCTGTGGGTTCTACCCCAGCCTTGAGCAACAGAGAATCGTTGGGCATCATAATTAAGTGATGAGGGCCCAAGAACATCTGTTGCTATTGCAAAGTCTTCATGAGCAATTCTCACACAAAAAGAAGCAGTTTTTACAAATGGTGCAGCTGCATGAGCAGGGTAGAGAAAAGGGTGGGATGGGTGAGGGGCTTCTGTGTGGTGTAAAGATGAAACATTCTTCCTAAAAAGCTCGTAATCCTGGCTGACTTCCCTCTGTTGGTAGAATGAGAGAAAGTTTGCAAGATACTTTTCTGGTTTCACCAAAAAAAAAAAAAAATGAAATAAGTGGGTGTTTGGATTTCTGCTTTTAGTAAACGTGTACATCCTCCATATTTTGTTCAGTTCTGGTTTGGAATAAGTAAGCTGCATTTGCAGCATGTGTAGACTCTCCCCACCCCCAACTCACACCCCTTTCAGCATAACAGATGGTAAATTCTGTGGCTGCCAGTTCTAGCATAATGTGGTTGCAGAAAATAGAAAGCAAAGCAACATGAAGACCCCTGATAGAACACAGCTGGGGGTGGGAGACAGCTTGTGAATCTGCTGCTGATGATAGCCATCGGGTTAGTATGAACACTCATAGCTGGACTACAGAAATGGGCTACCTGGATGTTGGAATAAAACTGATGTTGAGACCTGTTATTAACCTGAGCCTGTCTACCTGGGCCTTAATAGCAGAGAGCATGGACCTAATGTCTTTCTTCTGGGTGGCTACTACAAGCCTACCTAAAATTGTCGTGCATCGCGTTAGTGGTTGTATGTCATGTCAACTGGTGGCCTTTTTCAGATCTGACTAGATAAAGCACTGTTCCTGTTTAATGCTTTGTCTTCCAAAGTCTCACTAAAAACTCTGGCTGTTTGACTGAAGTGAGAATTGAATAAACCTCTAATTCCTTCAGGTAGAGCTTTGAGAGCTACTTAGAGGGACCCCAGTGACATTAATTAGGAGCGACATTCCCACGTACCATCTCTTAAATGCAGACAGGGTTTTATAAGGTGTCTCACATTTTTCAGAAATGCCAGATTAAGAAATAGGAAATTAATTTGAGAGTGAAGCCCCAGATATATTTCACTTGGTAATCATGACTCAAGAGTTTGAACCTAGTAGGAAACTAGGTTTCTTTTTGTGCCTTATGCTATATTGTGCATTGTTGGAGAAAGGTAAACAGACCGGTAGGGGTGGTGAGGAAGTCCAAACAAACCGCAGCCCATTCTTGAAAATGAGAGGAACATTACTGAAACAGCTGGCTGGAAGTCTCCTATCATTAAGGGTTATGATGTCTGATGTAGTCCACTTTGGGTTGGGGAAGGATCTAAGAAAAGCCTATATGAGAATTTAGAACTCTACCATTTAAATTTTAAACACCAAAAAATCATGAATGTTGTTTGTTTCAGCTGGAACTAGAGACTATATTGGACAGAATTATTATTTTATACAGAGGATGGATCACCATAGGGAAACCTTAATCAAATAAACGCCTTCTCCTTTAGGATCTGTGGTCCAGCCTAACTCATTTTGATTGGGTGGGGGATCCTAAGTCAGGATTTAGCAACCAGCTTTGCTAATTTAACGCATGTACTTGCATCAGGTTCTCTTGCCAGAATGCATTTACCCATATGCGCAGGGATAGTATAACATTTCAGTGGCCCTTTAGAGACTAAAAGGGAAAACTGAACCATGAGCTTCTTACTTTTTTATTTTAAAATATTTTAAAAGGATGGAAAACGGCAGAGAATAGTATAACAAATACCCATTGCACAGGACTGTTATTTCTCTTGAAATTCAAAAATAAGGAATGCAGCAGATTCAACTGAAAGTTGTCATCATCCCTAGTCCCTTTCCCCTCCCTGTCTCCTAAGAGACAACTACTATCATAAATGTTGTATATTTCTTCTCATTTCATATTTTTATACTGGATGTATCATAAAGCATCTATAAATACATGAGATGTTTCTTCTGTAACTCATTCAACATGATGTATTTAACATTTATATTGATACATATGGCTTTATTCATTCATTTTCACTACTCTATAGTGTAGTATATGAATGTACCATGATTTATTATTAAAAATGAGGAACCTTTTGTATATATCATCTTTTATAAGTTACTAGAGATTCTCTGGGTACATACACCTAGAGGTAGAATTGCTGAGTCATAGAGAATTACATATTCAATTCTGATAGAAGTTTATTTACAAAGCCATTATACTGATTTGCACATCCATCAGTAGTTTATGAGAGTTCCTGGCTCCCAGTATCAGAGTTTTTCAGTTTTTGGCAGTCTGATAGGTGAGAATATCTCATTGTTTTAATCTGGATTTTTCACATTACTTGACATCATAATTTTTTAGCTATCGAAAATTGAAATTAAAAACATCCAAAGGGATGAAATTTCAATATATTTATCTGACAGGTTAGCAATCAAATATGATTTAAAATTGTACTTTATTCATATAGCACTCCTAGGGAATAAGGTATTCCCAAGTTTTTTTTTTTTTTTTGAGATGTCTCATTCTGTAGCCCAGGCTAGAGTGCAGTGGTGCCATTTTGGTTCACTGCAACCTCCACTTCCTGGGTCTGGGTTCAAGCAATTCTCCTGCCTCAGCCTCTAGAGTAGCTGGGATTATAGGCATGTGCCACCATGCCCAGCTAATTTTTGTATTTTTAGTAGAGACAGGGTTTCACCATGTTGGCCAGGCTGGTCTTGAACTCCTGATATTTTGATCTGCCCACCTCAGCCTCCCAAAGTTCTGGGATTATAGGCAAGAGTCATCCCAAGATGTTAAATTTCAAATTATTAATCTAAGAGTTAGTAATTGCTTTATAAAACTTTAGCTGCTTGTGATGAATATCTATCTCTACAATATGTAACATCCCTGTTTTATGAAATTCAAGATATATTGAATTCAGTCCTTATAATAATAAACATTCGGTTTTTTAAAAAATTCAGGCTGGGTGTGGTGGCTCATACCTGTAATCCGAGCACTTTGGGAGGCTGAGGTCAGGAGTTCAAGATCAGCCTGACCAATATGGTGAAACCCCGTCTCTACTAAGAACACAAAAAATTAGCCGGGTGTGGTGGAGCTACTGGGGAGGCTGAGCTACTCGGGAGGCTGAGGCAGAATTGCTTGAATCTGGGAGGTGGAGGTTGCAGTGAGCCAATATCATGCCACTTTACTCCAGCCTGGGGGACAAGAGTGAAACTCCATCTCAAAAAAAAAAAAAAAAAAATCATTAATGCCTTCAGGGCCATTGATACAGGAGATATTTGTTTCTATACTAGATACCCTAAAAGGTCCTTATGCTCTAATAGTTATTTTTGCCTTTTATGGTCTTGCCTCCCAAAGCCTTTTCAGTGAGTTCTCCTACATTTTAAAATTAAAAATCAGTTTATATAAATTATATGTGCTTATTATGGAATATTTTATCTTTTCTCCTTTTAACTTGGTACCTTCCCCTTTATTGAGAATTCTGAGGACACACGGATCACTTTTTCTTGGGTGAGAGTGCGTGACATGTGGCTGCCTTTTGCCGTCATGCAGTGGTCTTTCCATCCCTCACAAGTATGTGCCAGTGTTCTGGATAGTTAAAACAGTTTAGAATCAGGTTTGTAGATGAGTGGCTGTGTGCTGCATTAGCCAACATAAAAACAGGTACAAACATTCTCTTAAAGAATGAACATATTTTAACTCAAGGATGTTAAATTGGTCTATTGTTTAGGAGATAATTAACAGGAAGGTGACTTATATCTTAGAAGATCTGAGAAAATTGGCCAGATACAAATGGCACAAACCCCATGCTGGTTGAGTAGTATAAGTTCTGTATGACCATTGATGCTTTCAAAGGTTTCAAATTTTGTTTTGTTTTCAGAAAATTGCTGCTGTTTTTAAGTTTGCTCTTGCTTGCCTTTTCAAACTTAAAATTTATGATTTAAGTTTAACATTTCTTTTTCTCTCTCATTTCAGTGTGACAAAATTATGCAAGAACGAGATGAAGCTGTTAAAAAACTGGAAGAATTTCAGAAAAGTGCGTAAGCATTTCAGCGGAATTGTTATAACTCATAGAGGGTTTGTGGGATTGTAGACATACACCCGGTTTAGTTGATGATGACCTGGTCATACAATCAAGAAAGCAAGAATTCTTTCTATTTGCCCCAAAATGCCCAGAAATCACTTTAAGCTTTAAAGAAATGGAATAAGCGTTATTGTTTTATCAGTGGTGTTAGAAAAACCTGTACTTGTTATAAAACAGTTTAACTATACAGAAAAGTTAAAGGAGAACAAAAATGGCTTGTTGTCTCGGCTCCTTGAAAAAAGCCAGTGCTAGTACTTTATTTTTAAGAGTGTGAATGTTTGAAATAGCCCTCTCGCTGAAGAAAGTTACATTCACACAAAAGCTGTACTTTCCAGATTTTTGCTATGTTACTTTTTTAGGTGATGTAAATCTGTTATTACTTTATCCCCTAAGACAGTATAGCTGATCAGACCCAGAAGGATCAGATGGAAATATGTCATAGGCACAGGGTCAGACTGTAGGAGGGAAAATGGCCCCCTCCCTTGGAAGCTAGGCCTTTCTCCATCATTCTGCAGATGCTCTGTCAGTCAGGATATTTGATGATGATATAAAGAATTGACTTGGTAACTACACAGCAGAACATTTTATTCTAGGCAAAACAGCCATACAAAGGCAGTATGATGATTAAATTTCAACCGTACGTTTATTTCAGTGTCTGGTTGTGACAAAGAACATCCAAGGGGAATCTTGTTGATATTACCTGTCTTTGGAGGCCAATATGCTATACTAGAAATACCTCTTACTTGCAAATGTGTGAATTCCAATTATATGGTACTTTTACTTATGGAATATACTTACTCTGAGTCACATCTTAAACAGTTATACCATTGGCATTGTTACCAGTTAATATGCTTGAATTATTGATAGTGGATTGGTGTACAGTGAAGATAGTTCAAGTTCCTTATGTTTGAACTTACAAAACATTTTGATCTAGGTAGGCAGTAGGGACTTTGCCTCCTGCGTTATACAAAACCAGAAGCAACTTTCCCGAGTATCAACCTTTGAAGTAACATGTACATTCTGCCTTTCATCTGCTATTTCTCTTTTCCCTTTCTTTGTCTCTTCCTCTGAATAACTTTGATAGTTTTAAAAATTTACATTTTTTCTTATGAGCAACTCAAATTGAAGCCTGAGAGGATTGATTGGAAGATTAGTGCAACAATCTGTATTGTTGTATTCATTTAGTTTTTACATTTACTAAGCGTGTTTAATTAATTTAAGATTTGGATGTTAGGAAAACAGTGATAATTCTTTTTTTCTTTTTCTTACTCTCCTGGTAACTCACAGAACAACAGAGTGCCAACTTTTTACTCATTCTCGAAAGGGGAGAAAACAAGGACTAAGAAAACTTTATGTGTTTGTCAGAAAACTGTATCTGGGATAAATAATTCATGGTTTTTGAGCAGAGGGTAGAATTTCAGATTTGGAAGGGAGTGAGGCAGTATTTTATCACTGGTGAAGAGCATTCGTTTATGTAAATCCAAGTTTCTGCATTAATAAAATTGGCACAAATGACCTTGCTTCATCGACCATTTGATGGTAAAAAAAAACAACAACATAATCTGTATAAAAAATGCTTAACACTGTACCTGGCATGTAGTAAGTGCTCAATAAATGTTAGTTGCTGCTACTACCATCTCATCTGCTAAACTATCCGGTACCTGACTGCCCTTCAGTATTAAGAGTTCATATCATTTACCTTTAGGGAGTAAGTTCCTTGACACCAGACTCCACATTTGGACAGTGGGGGAAGAAAGTCTGTTTTGGTGCTGAGTCGAAATCTGAAGATCCCTGTACTGTTTACCTACTAGGTCTGAATCTCTCCCTTTTTTTTTTCTGAGATAGAGTCTCGCTCTGTCACCTAGGCTAGAGTGCAGTGGCATGATCGCTGCTCACTGCAAGCTTCACCTCCTGGATTCAAGCAATTCTTGTGCCTCAGCCTCCCAAGTAGCTGGGACTACAGATGTGTGCCCCATGCCTGGCTATTTTTTGTATTTTTAGTAGAGACGGGGTTTCACCATGTTGGCCAGGCTAGTTTTGAACTCCTGCGGTCAAGTGATCCTCCCACCTCTGCCTCTCAAAGTGCTGTGATTGCAGGTGTGAGCCAACATGCCCAGCCTAGGCCTAGGTCTTGAAATGTAGAGGAACAGCTGAATAAGGGTTAAGAAAAGCTTTTTTTGGCCATAGGGCTTTGCTATCCCTAGCTTAGCATACTTTTCCCATGATAAGTGTTTTTATCTATATGTCTGTGTCATTGTTGATCCTCTGCCAGCTCTCTCTGAGCCTTCCTCCTAGTCTTTCTTCACACAGAGAACACCATCACATAGCAAAGACACATTCCCTAGACTGATTTCCTGTGAAAGGAGAAGTAACTGAAGACCTTTCGTACCTTTTCTTTTTTTTGCGGGGGGCGGGGATGGGTTTTGCTCTTTTTGCCCCAGCTGGGTGGAGTGCAGTGGCCCTATCTTGGCTCACTGCAACCTCTGCCTCCCAGGTTCAAGTGATTCTCCTGCCTCAGCCTCCTGAGTAGCTGGGATTACAGGTGCATGACACACCCAGCTAATTTTGTATTTTTAGTAGAGATGAGGTTTCACTGTGTTGGTCATGCTGGCCTCAAACTCCTGACCTCAGATGATCTGCCTGCTATGGCCTCCCAAAGTCGTGGGATTACAGACGTGAGCCACTGCACTCAGCCCCTTTCATGTCTTTTCAAGGGCACACCGATTATCCTACATATGTGCCAACTTTCATGGCTGTTTCCTTACCACATGGAAAAGCTTTAGAGTTGTCTGATGTTGAAGAAGAATTTGTGATACGTTCACCACATATGCTTTAGAGATATTCTACATCTAAATATCGCTGGGCATTGGAGTTGGGAGAGGAGATTCGCGCTAGAAGCAACATCATTGGTGGTGACAGCTTGTATAATGGATGAGAAAGGACTATAGAAAAGTAGAATCACCCAGAAATGGTTTTAGCTGGGCTTTACCGATTAGAACTCTGTGATTTGAAATATGTTATTTAATTTCTCTGGGCCTCCATGTTCTCAAATATAAAATTGCTGTGATGATCCCTATGTTATAGGATTGTTATGAGGCTTCGTGAGGGAGCACGTGTAAAGAGTAAAGCATGAGGCTGGACTCATAGTCAGTCTCAACAAATGATGATGGTAGTTGTTTCCTAAGAAATTCTATACAACAGAGACTATTCTTATAAAAGGCTGTTCACTGATGAGCTTAGGCCTTCAATCCTTTAAATAGACACTAACATGAGCACCTACTTTGCATGTAGTATTGTGCTTAGGTGCAAGTAAAACAAAATCCCTGCTCTAATGTTCATAGTGAGTAGAAGATAAAAACAAGTTAAAAAAAAAAAACCAGTTACCCTACAATGTGATGTGGGCTATACTGCCACATATGTAAGACTGCTTTGAAGTCATAGATGAAGAGAGACAAACTTTGCTACTTCCAGTAGTCTAATAGAAACAGTAGTTGATGTACTTTTATGTTACACTTCTGAGTTCTCAGGGTCATTAAAATTGTTTTATGACAAAAACTTCAAAGTTATGCAAAGGTGAGAAAATAATGTAACAAACCCCCATGTTCCAGTTACCCAGTTTCAACAGTTGCCAGCTCACAGCCAGTCTTCCGTCTGTACACCCATACACCCACTGGTCACTGACCTCAGATTGTTTTGCAACTAATTCCAGTCATCATATCATTTTACTGTTTACTGCCTACAAATATTTCAGTATGTCTTTCTTCTTCTTCTTCTTTTTTTTTTTTTTCTGAGATGGAGTCTTGCTCTGTAGCCCAGGCTGGAGTGCAGTGGCACTATCTCAGCTCACTGCAACCTCTGCCTCTGGGATCCCAGTTCAAGCAATCTCCTACCTCAGGCTCCCAAGTAGCTGGGATTACAGGCACAAGCCACCATGCCCAGGTTTAGTAGAGATGGGGTTTTACCGTGTTGTCCAGTCTGGTCTTGAACGCCTGACCTTGTGATCCTCCCACCTCAGTCTCCCAAAGTTCTGGGATTACAGGTGTGAGCCACCGCGCCCAGCCTTCAGTATTTATTTCTAAAAGATTAGGATTCTTTTCTTTTTAATGTAACTGCAGTATTAGGGACACTTTGTTAAAAGTTCATCTTTTTTCTTTTTTAAACCTCTTGTCATCCAAATATGCAAATATGACAGGTACAGTGGTCATGGATTGTGGTTATCCTGAGACAAGCCCAATTCAGAACCATAAGAAAAATTATTACATGAATAGCTAAATGCTTAAAAAAACTTTTGTGCTTTGAAATGTGCAAATAAATTTACATGTTAAAAATACTTTTGTGTCATGTGACTTGGCTTTTGGTTTGAAATGGGGTCGTGCTTTGTAAAGATATAATCACCCTTTGAAATATATTCTTTCCTTTTGAACCTAGAAAGTTGGTAACTAGGTTTTGATGCTACCAATTTAGCATTGGAAGAATTTCTTAAACTAAAAATTAATGTACAGTTTTTAAAATGTCTACTGTTCTCTCTTTAAGAAGAAATAAAAACCCCACCAGATGGAGTATACCAAATCAGAATTGGAGAAAATATGAGCAAGGACTACGCAGCTACGTTTATCAAGTTAAATCACATGGCACCTTTTTACAAAATGTTTAGAAAATAAATGTTGGTTTTCTTTTTCTTTCCTATTTGCTGGACCTAAACCTCACTACTGTGGAATGAATTTTCTTGCTCTTTCAAGAGTAAGAATGTTATTGAATAAAAAGTCAGATTCCTGTGAAAAATGCAGGGTGTTTATGTTTTTGTTATGATACTGGAAATACCAGATTGTGGCAGAAGATGTCAAGTAGTTAAGGCTAAAAATTCAAAGTAATATTTGATGTTGTAAAAATTGTATAGGTTTCTTTTCTCTTTCCTTCACATTTTTGAAGAACCTACCTTGTAAACATAGTGATAAAATGCCAGGAATATTAGGATTTTAAGGAAATAATAGAGCCTATTATTTAAACTACAATATAAAAGGCAATTATATTGATGAAGAGCTACATGGGCTTTGTGTGTGTGAATAAACTTGGCCTGTGTTCAGCTTCTATTTGTTCTTCTGGCATAAACACATATTGTGTGTGATTCCAGTTTAATGGGGACCCGTTTGTATGCCAAGCAGCTGCATTTTAGGACCTATTGCGTGATTTCATAGCTCTCTGAAAATTGGTTCTATTCAGAACAAGAGATAGAAGAGAAGAAGGGGGGTGATGTGGAAGGGTGGGGGGGAGCTTCAACACACAATCATTTCTTTTCAATTGGAGCCAGAAAGGTTGATGACAACATGACCATTGTGTTATAATGATAAGACCACTAAGGCATCTGTACCTCTCATCAAGGCTTTCACACAACAGCAGATACAATTTAATTCACTGCTCTGTCAGCAGTGCTGATACCATTATGCCGTCTGTCTCCACAGTTATAATCACTGTCCTCTGAGAAATGCAGTTGAAATGATCTTGAGCAGTCAAAGAAACTCTCAATTAAGGCTGCCACTTCCAATGTGTCAGATTGTGTCTTATGCACTTGGTACAATTTTCACTTCCAATCCTGTTTATTTACAATGTCTACCAGTAATTACGCTTAACGTGTCATTTAGTGAGGGGGGCCCCTGCCAAGCCGATTGTTGGGTGCTGCTGTACCATTGAGTGGGAGTTTCTCGAAGTCAATGCCATCAGCAGCTTTTAGGCCCTGATGGGATGCAGTAGTAATGTTGATAATGCAAGTATCGTGCTCATCAAGTCATAATTAGATGCCACTCAAATGTGCCACTTGTAATAACAGTGTTGATTCATGTTTTTCTCGGTGACTGCAACTACTAATTAGTTAAGTGGTTTTTGGTTGGCCTGCATTTGCTGCAGATTATTATTACCCCTGAAAAAATGTCAAGGTTAGAGATGTTTCTGGCCATTTAGTGCTGCTTTATGAATTTGAATATTAACATAATAAGAACTTTGAACAGACTTAGGAAGTAATACATTTTTGTATTTAATTTGGAGAGAAATTTTTTCCCCTGAGTTTAATCATAATTGCAGGTTAATTAAGCTTAAATGAAGCAAAAGTAATCTCTCTTTGTGTTACGTGAGCCCAGTGCTTTTTGCCTAACTTTGTTGGGTTTCACATTTGGGTGTCCTTCCATTTTTTTTTTTTTTTAAGCCAAACAAGTGTCAATAAGTAACATCTACACTTAGGGTTGAGATTCTGAGAGTTTTCATTTAACTAGAAATATGGGTGGAAGGAATTGGCATTTTTCTGACTTGATCTTCAAACTATAACGCAACTTCTAAATCACTTTGTACTTGTATATCTCAATTTACATGCACCACCCACGAAAAAAATCTAAAAATTACTATTTTTCAAGCATTGGTAAAATATCAAGTAAAATTTTATTTTTTTCTAATGCTCCTGATAGTCTTGATTCAAGAAGCAATTTGTTAGCATCTGCTTTGTAACCTATGGTACATAAATCTTATTGCTACACTTTTCTGCCCAAGAGTTATAAAATAGCATTAACTACTTTGTAGCTAATAGAGACTAATGCTGCAGTACTTAGCCAAGTTGCCCCATCATTATTCCAGTAATAAGATCAATTTAAGATTTTTTTAAATTTTTTATTAATTTTTCTCATTAGAGCCATGTGTTATATCCTCCTAAGAAAAAGAAGTCATGCTGTCACTTCTCTTTATTTATGAAATGTTCTTTTGTTTAAATTAGTAGATATGTCTATGGATAATATAGAGTTGCATAGAAAATGGACACATAAAAAAATCTAAATAGCTCTCTTAAAATGTATGTAGTAAAATGTATGTATGTGAAATGAATGTTTTCCATTGTGTACTTACTTCTTTCTACATTCAAATATTAGCTCAGATTTAATCAGGGCAGCTTCTCAAAAACCTTTTTTCAGTGATAGCTAAAGGTCTGGCTAGCTAAAGAATTGAAGTATTCTTAATCATGGGACGATGCGTGGGCTCCTGGAATAGCTGACTAATGTTTGAATGCTGAGACTTTTTTCCTCCTCATTCCTAGTTTCTCACATGGTCATAGAGGAAGTTAATTTCATGCAGAACCATCTTGAAATAGAGAAGACTTGCCGAGAAAGTGCTGAAGCTTTGGCAACAAAGGTGAGACTTCCAATGAAGGAATTTTACCTGAGCTTTTAAATTTCAACTTCCTTTTCTAAGCGGCGGCTTCTGTCTGGTTTTGCTTTTCTACTTCCCTAATGGATTATCTACTCTGATGATGAGGGAAATGCTAAAAGGTCTCAGAATCCTGGAGTATGATTATGTAAATATTCGCCTTCAATCAAAGGTTATTCCAGTTGTAAAGGAGCATTTGTATGTGAGTATTTCAGTATTTGTGCTTTTTGCCTGTGAAAATGTGGAAAAAGTGGTCCCAGAGTAGTGTTAAACGGGACTTTGCAAATGTCCATGAATTTGGTTAAAATGCTAATCAAATTTAAAACTAACCCGATGTGACATAAAAGAGCAGTGAATGTCTGATATTTGAATCAGATGAAAAAGTCACCCTGAAGCCTTACATTTCAGGTGATTATTTGTGAAAGCAAAGCAAGGGCATGCTAAAGGTGACCTCCAGTGTTCCACTGATTGCCTCTCGCTGATGAATTTACCAAGTGTATAATTTTCTATATTCTGTCTCATCAGAAGTACATTATTATTAAAGAATGTTTTTATCTCTGTCTTATGTATTTTGGGTTGGGTAAAATGCATCTGAACCACTTCATCAGAAAATGGATTACAGCAATTTTCAACCAAATTTCATTAGTAATGCTGGTTGTGTCCCTTTTCCTTCCCCCCATCACCTACCTTCGAAAATTTCTTTGGATGTGACTGAAATTTTACTCCCAGTAAATACATAAATAAATATAATTTGTATGCACTAACAGTGTGCTTGCTAAAGGTTATTTACTTAATTGTTTGCATAACAACACCACATTAGAATTCATAAGATATTTAATCAGAACCTAACTAAGAATATAAACTTGTGTATGTAACTTCTCTCCTGTTATTCGTCTGAAGAATACATAGCAATATACTTTAAAAATACTTTTTAAAAAAATGATAACATGGATGTGTTCACATCATTTTTACTATGTTGCATATTCTTAGAGTTCACTAGTCCAAAATGTTGTATGAATTCTCTTTTCTTTTTTTTTTTTTGGAATAAGTAGAAAAAAAGTATATTTGGAGCCTACCACCTGCTCTGAATCTTCTAGGTTCTAAGGATACTCTCTCTATTTTTTCTTTTTATTAACAAGTATTCCTGTTGTCACAGCATATCCAGAGTGAAGATACTGACTACCTTTCGGGATTGGCAGGGTTTATTGAAGCCGCTGGTTTGTGGGGCAGTATATACAGGTTTTATTTTTGGTTATATCATTTTGGGCATGTGTGATTTTGGACAAGTTAGTTTTGTTCTCTGGACTGTAGTATCTCATCTTAAATGACATGATGGACTAAAGTTAGGACTGGAGTTCATCATTTATTCATATATGGCCCCCTGAAAAAAGTTACTTTATTCTGTCTCCCCTTTTATTTAACAGGTGCCTTTGGGCAAGAGAACTCATCTCTCTGAGCTACAGTTGTCTTGTTCTAAATGCCAAAGTGACCATGGTTGGCTTCCTTATACCCCAGATCTGCTGGCTCCAGATGTGTGGTCCAGGCCTGTGTCTGTAGAAAAGCTGCCTGGTGACTGTTATACTCCTCCCTGGTTATCAACCAGCGTTACCTAATCTCTAAGCTCATTTTTACAATTAAGTCTTAACAATAGGATTCTTAACTAACACTGTTTCCTGCCTGTTCTTTAAGAAGCCTTTTTTTTTTTAATGGACATACAGTTTATTTTTGATGATACGGTATGAACTCATGGGGCCTAGAATAAAAAACAGTCCAAAAATGGATTAAACAAAATACTATAAATGTGCTTGTTTGTTGTGAAAGCCTGCCCTGAATGCAACATGTGCACACTCCATTATATGTGTGACTAACAAATGATAATAGCACTTTCTGATTTAAGTATCAATTGTCATTTTTGAAAGTAGGCTTCATTTTCTGAGAGCAAAGTTTCTGTAAATTCTTATTTTTCTAAATTTTTGCCATCAAATTAATGACAAATGGAATGTTTAATTCTTATCGTGCAGTTTGACCTCATAATGTTCTGTTTTGTTCTTTTTGAGATGGAGTCCTGCTCTGTTGCCCGGCTGGAGTGCAGTGGTGCCGTCTTGGCTCACTGCAACCTCCACCTCCCAGATTCAAGAGATTCTCCTGCCTCAGCCTCCCAAGTAGCTGGGATTACAGGCATGGGCCACCACTCCTGGTTAATTTCTGTATTTTTAGTAGAGACGGTGTTTCACCATGTCGGCCAGGCTGGTGTCAAACTCCTGACCTCAAGTGATCTGCTTGCCTCAGCCTCCCAAAGTGCTGGGATTACAGGCATGTGCCACTGTGCCCAGTTCCTCATAATTTTCTTAAAAGCGAGTATGGATACTTTGCTTTGCTAAAATATGTATATTAAACTGATAAGTGCCGACCAATTATTTAAGTAATATGATCCAAAGCAATTAAACTTGCTGGTTTTGTACCTTTAAATAGTCACTAAACTGTGGGCAATAAAAAAACCCTATTTACATTTGAATATAATAGGTTCTGTTACTGTAGGGTTGGGGTTATAAGAGATACATTTTTGCCTTAGACATAGAGGGGTTTCAAACAACAAGTAGCATGCCATTAACCTGTAGCTTGATAAATAGCTACAATGAAATTGCTTAGCCAAAATTTGTGAATTCAGAATTCTCAAAAATGTCCGAATAGTGTACACATAAGACCTCATGTATAGGCTGCGTGTGGCGGCTCATGCCTGTAATCCCAGTGTGCTTTGGAAGGACAAGGTGGGAAGATCACTTGAGCTCAGAGAGTTTGAGGCTTTGGTGAGCTATGATCATACCACTGCAGTCCAACATGGGTGACGGAGCAAGAACTCATCTCCAAAAAGAAAAAAATGACCTCATATATATAAATCTTACATTTCTTCTTTCAGAATGTGAAAATGGTGTTTCAGAGAAGACTTATGACATTTTCTGGTTGGCATTTTTTCTTGAACTGGTGACTTTGTTAACTAGAGTAATTGTATTGCAGACAACCTGGTGGATTTTGGTGCCTGGTTTGATAGAGACATTAAACCCTTTTGAGGGCAGAACTGTGTTAACTATGACATTACTAAGGTATTATTATAGTAGTTTTCTAAAAAGTAATGTAGTAAGCACTAGGTGGCAGAAACTAGTAGTTTTATGAGTGTCCTGGAGGAAGAAGAAAATGCATAAATACGTTGATTGAAGAAAACTAGCTGATAAATGAATTCCAAAGGATAGACACAAACTAAACCTCTTTTCTTACTATTAATAGCTAACACTGAAGTTTTATTATGTGGCAGTTACCATATTAAATACTTTATATATAATGTATCATTTAATCATCATATGGTAGGGTAGAGACTATCTTAATTCTTAGTTTACTGATGAGAAAACTGAAACATAAGGATTAGGTTAGTTGTAGAGGCAGAGATGGAATTTTATTGCAGAACCGGGTTGTATACTAAAGCAATGCATTTCTCTACATGAATGATTCTTAGTGTTGATGGACATTAGAATCACCTGGGAAACTGAATAAGTGCTATGCTGGGTTCCACCACCAGAGATTTTGTTATGGTATAGAGCCTAAGCATTGGAGTTTTTAAAAAAGCTCTCCAGACATTCTGATGGACAGAGTTGAGAACCATTAATTTAAATATTAGGATACAGAACCAGAAATTCAGTCTTAAACATTTTCACTTTTGTCTTAAATTGGTGTTTTCTTCTGACAATCAGAAAAGATGGGATAGTTTGAGAGTTGACAAGTGAGGGTCCTTGAGCTTCAAGCGGCATGCTGTAGCATTCATGGTTTAAAGAACCCATGAATGCTAAGTTTTCACCTGAATTTTCCATCTTAAGAGGGGCTGGGAAATTATGGGCTTCATCTTTTATTTTGATCTTCTAATGTGATGTGGGGAGACAGAAGTTGGAGCTATAGATTGGGACTAAGGATAAAGGGTTGTGAATCGGTTCCCTGAATAGAGCTTGCCAGGCTTCCTCCCAGGACAAATCCATGGAAGGGTTCATAGCCATTTCTCAGAGATTATTCCTGATTCTCCAGAGAGGTCAGGCAACTCTCTTGTGCTCCAGACCATGCCACTTCAGTTTCCATATTATTGGTGTAGGAATCAGATAGATCTCCCAGATTGAAGTGGGCTGGGCTTTCTCTGTGAGAAACCCTGAGTAGCCCAAATTATGATCACAAATGAAAGAGCAAAGACAAACCAGTACCATGCTAAATGTCTTATTCTAGTTTCAGGTTTACAGTGAGGAAAGGTAGTTACCTTTCTAATGAATTATGTTTATTTCCAATATCAATTATTATTTATTTCTAATATCAATTATTAAATTCAAAGCTTGTCTTCATGGTCAAGGGCTCTAGTAAATGAAATGCATTTGCATTCCCTTTTTTTTTTTTTTTAAATACTTTTAAGTTCTGGGATACATATGGAGAACATGCAGGTTTGTTATATAGGTATACACGTGCCATAGTAGTTTGTTGCCCTCATCAACCTGTCATCTAGATCTATGTGAGGAGGCAGTCTGTCCCTTTGCAGAGTTTGAGCACTGTGCTGGGAGATCTACTGCTCTCTTCAGAGCAGGCAGGTGGGAACATTTAAGTCTGCTGTAGCTGCGCCCACAGCTATTCCTTCCCCCAGGTGCTCTGGGAGAGGGGAGTTTGATCTGTAAGCCCCTGACTGGGGCTGCTGCATTTCTTTCAGAGATGCCCTGCCCATAGAGGAGGAATCTAGAGAGGCAGTCTGGCTACAGTGGCTTGGCTTTGCTATGGTGGACTTCGCCCAGTTTGAACTTCTAGGCTTTGTTTACACTGTGGGGGGAAAACTGCCTACTCAAGCCTCAGTAATGGTGGATGCTCTTCCCCTTACCAAGCTCAAGTGTCCCAGGTTGACTTCAGACTGCTGTGCTGGCAGCAAGAATTTCAAGCCAGTGGGTTTTAGCTTGCTGGGCTCCATGGGGGTGGGATCCACTGAGCTAGACCACTTGGCTCCCTGACTTCAGCTCCCTTTCCAGTGTAGTGAACGGTTCTGTCTCACTGGCATTCCAGGTGCTACTTGGGTATGAAAAAAAAGTCCTACAGCTAGCTTGGTGTCTGCTCAAATGGCCACCCACTTTTGTACTTGAAACCCAGGGCCCTGGTGGTGTAGGCACCTGTGGGAATCTCCTGGTCTATGGGTTATGAAGACCATGGGAAAAGTGTAGTATTTGGGTCAGAGTGCACCATTCCTCAGGGCACAGTCCTTTACAGCTCCCTTGGCTAGGGGAAGGAATTCCCCAACCCCTTGTGCTTTCTGGGTGAGGCAATGCCCACCCTGCTTTGGCTCGCCCTCCATGGGCTGCACCCACTGTCTAATGAGTCCCAGTGAGTTGAACTGGATACCTCAGTTGGAAAATGCAGAAATCACCCACCTTCTTCATTGATCTCCCTGGGAGGTGCAGACTGGAGCTGTTTCTATTTGGCCATCTTCCTCCCCATCTCTGCATTTCTACAACTTACATTTTATACTAGGTAAAATAATCTACTGAATACTTTGATGTGTACAAATTAAAGAAGACTGTTTACTTTTTAGTCTCGGGAAGAGAAACCATAAGCAAAACCATGTTGTACTTCTGTGGACATTGGACATCCTTAGTCTTTGTGTGTGCTTTGTACTAAATTTTCATGCACATAAACACATCAGCTAAAGAAGGTGATAATAGTTGAATAACTAAAGTAAAAAAAAACCCAACTCATTTCTACATCTGGGAATAAAAAGTACATTAACAAATTAGGATTTCTTTTTTTTTTTTTTGCTATGAACTAGAACTCTTTTAATAGAGATAGTAGAAACAACATCTTGAACTAGTTTAAACAAGAAAAGAAAAAATATGTAGGAATCTGTTAGAAATATTGGAGAATTCCATAGAATCTCTGAGCCAGGAGCATTTTAGGAATGGACTGGAGTCTGGGGCTCAAGTCTGGTGGAAAATGCTTTCTTTGTTGCTTTTCTCTCTTTACACATCAGCTTCATTTTAGCTTTTCTAAAAACGACCTTCCTCTTTTTAATTTTTTTGATTCTGTAATGGACTATGGTTACCAGCAGCTCCTGTCCACCTGAAAGAAACTCATTGCTCTGTTGATAGCCTCTAAATTTCTAGAGAAGGGATCTGATTGGTTATACTTGGATCATGTGCTTAATCCCTAGACTAGTTCGCTGTGGCCAAAGGGCTGGGGTATGCCTGGGAGAGCACAGCTCTCCCATTGAAATCATGTGGAACAACGAAGAGTGGCAACGTCCAGAAAAGAGGAGATGTTAGACAAACAGACATTTAAATGGTGTTCAGCATCGAAGAAAACAGAAGATTTGCTTGAAATAAAGTGCCTTTATTAAGACTATAAATGACTATAAATAAATCAAAATTTTATTTAATCTGTACTGGTATTTTATCTTAGTTCCTTATATTTCTTAGTTAAAACTAGCATTTCCATTTGCTGCTGGCTGTAATCCAGGCATCAGGTCTTTTTTTAAAGAAATAAATTTAATATAAAACCTTATTTAATTAATCTGCTAATTGTTTATATCCCGCTGTGAGTGTTGATGAATATGTAAGACAAAAATATACTTTTTTTGTCTATTGTTTAAAAATCCAAGATACTCATTTGGCTGCTGTTAAAATAACTGTTTTTGTATTTTGTCTTAGCTAAATAAAGAAAATAAAACGTTGAAAAGAATCAGCATGTTGTACATGGCCAAGCTGGGGCCAGACGTAATAACTGAAGAGATAAACATTGATGATGACGATTCAAGTACAGACACAGACGGTGCCGCCGAGACTTGTGTCTCAGTACAGTGTCAGAAGCAAATTAAAGGTAGAACTCTTTGCTTAATTATTGAGGATATTTTTTTTTACCCCATTAGGACTGTGCTCTGAACTCTGACTGCACATCAGAATCATGTGGGAAGCTTTAAAAACACTGATGCCTGGGTCCTACCTTATCCCAAATTTTGCTACACCCTAGGCCAATGAAATCAGAATTTTGGATGGCGTAGGACCCAGGCATCAGTATTTTTAAAGCTTCCCACATCATTTATTTGTATCTCTAATCACCATAGGGTGTATACAATTGTGTTTTACAAGTTACTTTCTTGTTTGAAATTAGGTACTTTTGATAGTGTTATCTCAATGGGAACAGCCAGTTAGACTATAACCTTAAGGATATGTACTAAGTGTCAAGCTATTTTTGTTAAATGAAAGAAAGAAGGAATAAAAATATATTTAGCAACACCCCTTTTTATTGGTTAACAAGCGGTGTTGTAAGGCAAAATCATATGATACGTCTGTTAAATGCACATTTTATTCATACACATGTTTATTTAAAAATGCAGGAAAGCAGTTCTGGCTCAATAACTATTGGAACATTTTAATTTAGTACACAGGCCAAAAGCAATATTCATTTCTTTGTTTGGTAGATAAAATTTCAACTGGAACTATAAAGAGGAATGGATGTTACAGACACCATCTTTACCCAACTCTTCAACCCCTCAAGCTAAGGCAAAATAGCGTTCATGTTGGTAGGGAGGGAGAGGAAGTTTAAAGGAGTTCCTTTTGCTGGTTATTCTCCTTTCTGTTTGATCTTGAACAATATGTTTCATGTTCTTTCTGGATCAGCCAACCAGTGGAGAATGGTTTAGAAATAAGTTTCTGAGAACTTCTTCAAGCTGAGTTTTTGTAAAAAGTTTGATTTAATTTACAAATAACCACACAACGTATTTCATATTGCACTTGAAAAACAGTAAGAAATTAAAGGCAGCTAAAACCTAAGTGGCAAAACAGTAGGCCTGAATATACATTTGAGCAGTCTGTGCTACTCTATGTATATTTTCAAACATTTAAGTGGCAGAAGTAACTTTAACACCAGAAGCTTTTGCACTTACAGTTGATAATATTTTCTTTCTAGTAACACATTTTTCATTGAATCCTAATAACAAAACTATAAAATAAGTTTAGGCCGGGCGCGGTGGCTCACGCCTGTAATCCCTGCACTTTGGGAGGCCGAGGCGGGTGGATCACAAGGTCAAGAAATCGAGACCACCCTGGTCAACATGGTGAAACCCCGTCTCTACTAAAAATACAAAAAATTAGCCGGGCATTGTGGCGCATGCCTGTAATCCCAGCTACTCAGGAGGCTGAGGCAGGAGAATTGCCTGAACCCAGGAGATGGAGGTTGCAGTGAGCTGAGATCGCGCCATTGCACTCCAGCCTGGGTAACAAGAGTGAAACTCCGTCTCAAAAATAAATAAATAAATAAATAAAATAAGTTTAAAAACAAAATACCCATGACTCTACAGAAAAAAAGAATTAATCCTACTTTCAAATAGTTATATTTTGAACCAGTTCAAATACTGAGGACTATAAATCGTCAGCAAGTCAAGATCTAAAATCTCCAAATTATTAACTGCCCAATGTTTATTTATATTGTATTGTGACAAGAGCCTGTGGCATTATGAAATAGAAATTAGTACTGCACCTTAATTTGTTTTGCTGAAAGATTAAAAAAATTTTACTTCCAAAAGCCAGATAGTTTTATATAGAATGCAAAGAAAACATGATCTGGTACATTTAAGGTTGCCTGATATAAAATTATTAATACCCATGGCTGTATGGCAAAGGGTCACGCAAGTGAGATTCTCATTGTCCTTTGGTTCTTCATTTCCTTTTGATTGTTAAATAATCTTGACCATAAGCTGCACATGGACTGGCATTTTCAATTCTTTTGACCAGATTGACTACTTATTTCATTTTAAAAATAAATTTATTTACATTTTTTCTTTAAAAATGCAGAACTTCGAGATCAAATTGTATCTGTTCAGGAGGAAAAGAAGATATTAGCAATTGAACTGGAAAATCTCAAGAGCAAACTCGTAGAGGTAGTTGAAGAAGTATGTATCTCAGGCCTGAAAGGCAAGGGCTTCAGCATTTTCCAGGTGTTTGGGGATTTGCTAAGTTAAGAACTTACTATTATAAGCCAGTTTCTAACATGAGAACCTTGTACCAATTTTAATCTTCTCTTCTCCCCTCAATTTTTTTCTCTTTCTTTATTATTATTATTTTTTGAGACAGAATCTTGCCCTGTTGCCAGGCTGGAGTACAGTGGTGTGATCTCGTCTCACTGCAACCTTTGACTCCTGGGTTCAAGCTATTCTCCTCCCTCAGCCCCCCTAGTAGCTGGAATTACAGGCGTGCACCACCACACCCAGCTAATTTTTGTATTTTTAGTAGAGACAGGGTTTCACCATGTTGGTCATGATGGCCTCAATCTCCTGACCTCATGATGATCTGTCTACTTCGGCTTCCCAAAATGCTGGGATTACAGGTGTGAGCCAGGATGCCCAGCCTCCCCTCAATTTCAGACATAGAAAAAGGTAGAGGAAATAAGATCATGAAGATTAATGTACCCACTGCCTAGCTTAATAAATAAAATTCCAAAATAGCATAGGCGTGTTTCCTGTTGGTCCCCCATTTTTTGCTATGTAAGGCAAATTTGTCGGAATAGTAGCTACTATTCCAAGTCATGTATTTTATTGCTGCTGGTGGAGAAAGAAGAGCGTGTTTTGTTCTTCCAGTGAATGGCTGGTTCAGTTGGGAAGGACAGTTCCTCTGTGTGTCTCCAACACAGGCATTTATGATAGGTGGTAGGATGGGTTCAAGTGGTTGTTTACAGAATCTATCTTTTCTGCCGTTTTGGTTTGTTTTGTTTGAAACAAGACCTGACTGTCATACTAAGGCTGGAGAGCAGTGACATGATCACAGCTCACTGCATCCTCAGCCTTCCAGGCTCAAAATATTCTCCTGTCTCAGCCTTCCAAATAGCTGAGACTACAGGCACACGTCACTACACCTGGCTATTTAAAAATTTTTTTTTTATAGAGATGTGGGTCCCTGTATTTCCCAAGCTTATGGGAATGATCTTCCCACTTTGGCCTCAACCACAAACACAAGCTGCTGTACCTGGCTTTCTTTTCCTTTTGAACTGTATTTAAAAACAGGACTGCCACAATTGCCTTTTATTTGCATGAGGCTTCAAGGATTTGCCTTCAATGATGCTATTTTGGGAAGGACCTTACTTTTGGACAGTGTGTACCAGTTACTAATTGAAACCAAAACCAAAAATAAAGCCTACACTGAAAGAACCAGTTCATAGACTATCTGGAGGTGCCGATGGATTCAGAACCACTTTTCAGGACCATTATTTTTGTTTCTTGGTGTGCTTTGTTCCTCAGTGGTGGTTATTTACTGATGATCTCTCCCTTCCCACTTAGAGGTGGTACTGGAAGACAATTCAACAATTATATTTATTATGACTATTTAAGACATCTGAAAAGGCATAATGAACAAAATAATGGGTATGGGTTTGGTGGCTCACACCTGAATTCCCAGCACTTTGGTAGTCCAAGGCAAAAGGATCAGCTGAGCCCAGGAGTTGAGGACCAGCGATACCTCATGGCAAGACCTCATCTCTCCAAAAAATTTTTAAAAATATTAGCCAGGCATGGTGGCATGTACCTGTAGCCCCAGCTACTCAGAGGGCTGAGGTGGGAGGATTGCTTGAGCCCAGGAGTTTGAGGCTACAGTAAGCTATGATCGTGTTACTACCCTCCAGCCTGAGTGACAGAGTAAGACCCTGTCTCTAAAAAAATTATTTGTATTGAAGAGACAGGTGTCTACTACCTAACCTAATTCATGGAGTATTAGCATAGTGATGAAGGCCCTGGTGTACCTCTTTCCAGTTGCTCATTCCTCGCTTCCTGCTCAGTTTCCCTAAACAGCTATTATACTAAACTTGGTGTTTGTCATTTCAGTGCATATGTTTACATGTCCACTACAATACATAGTATTTTGAGTGTTTTTAAATGTTATGAACATACCTGCATTCTAAATTCAATATAATGTATTTGAGATTTATCTACCTTGATATATGTAGCTTTACGTTTTTTTTTTTTAATCTTCTCTATGGTATTCTCTTTCATCGATAGACATCAAAAGTTATATCAGAAATTTAAATTTTTGTGGAAGTATTTATATGTATTTTATTTAAGCCAAGAGTCATCAAAGTTCAAAATATTCTTTCATTTTAAAAGTTCATGTTTGTCTTATTGAAGTCAAAAGTAATCAACATTTGGCTGGGCACGGTGGCTCACACCTGTAATCACAGCACTTTGGGAGGCCGAGGTGGGCAGATCACCTGAAGTTAGGAGTTCAAGACCATCCTGTCCACCATGGTGAAGCCCCATCTCTGTTAAAAAAAAAAAATATATATATATGTAATCAACATTTAAAATGAACACCAAAATTGAGTATCAGATCTTGACTAAGTGATTCTTGTATTTTCTGGGTGATTTTTTTTTGAGATGGAGTCTTGCTGTCGCCCAGGCTAGAGTGCAGTGATGCGTTCTTGGTTCACCACAACCTCTGCCTCCCGGGTTCAAGCGATTCTTCTGCCTCAGCCTCCTGAGTAGCTGGGATTACAGGCAGGTGCCACCATATCTGGCTAATTTTTGTATTTTTAGTAGAGATGGGGTTTCACCATGTTGGCCAGGCTGGTCTCGAACTCCTGACCCTGTGATCCACCTGCCTCGGCCTCCCAAAGTGCTGAGATTACAGGTATGAGCCACTGCGCCCAGCCTCTGGGTGATCTTTAGTTGGATTTTTGCATTAAAAATATGAATCATGGTACTGGGCGCGGTGGCACGTGCCTGTAGTCCCAGCTATTCGAGAGGCTGAGGCTAGAGAATCTCTTGAGTCCAGGAGTTCTGGGCTGTAGTGTGCTATGCCGATCGGGTGTCTGCACTAAGTTCGGCATCCATATGGTGACCTCCCGGGAGCGGGGGACCACCAGGTTGCCTAAGGAGGGGTCAACTGGCCCAGGTTGGAAAAATATGAATCATGGCTTGGTATGGTGGCTCACGCCTGTAATTCCAGCACTTCGGGAGGCTGAAGCAAGAAGATTGCTTGAGCCCAGGAGTTCAAAACCAGCCTAGACAACATAGGAGACCCCATTTCTATATATATATATATATATATATATATATATATATATATATTTTGAGACAGAGTTTCGCTCTTGTTACACAGGCTGGAGTGCAATGGCGCGATTTCAACTCACTGCAACCTCTGCCTCCTGGGTTCAGGCAATTCTCCTGCCTCAGCCTCCTGAGTAGCTGGGATTACAGGCATGTGCCACCGTGCCCAGCTAATTTTTTATATTTTCAGTAGAGACGGGGTTTCACCATGTTGACCAGGATGGTCTCAATCTCTTGACCTCGTGATCCACCCGTCTGGGCCTCCCAAAGTGCTGGGATTACAGGCTTGAGCCACCACTCCTGGCCTTCTTCTTTTATTTAACTTAAAAAAATATGAATCATTTACATTGGATGGCTAGCATGCCATCATGTTTAGGGGCCAATGCCCACTGGAATATAAAAATAAGTTCTGTATCAAGTATACATAGCTATTCTTGAAGATTTAAAGTAGAGCTTTAATAAACATCTTAACACATTGAAACCAATTTCTGCTTTAAATTGTAACTTCATGTTGAAAGTTGAACAGCAATTGAGTATCACACATTGCCATATGTCCTGTTTTACAATTTTGGGTATTTTCTCCCCTCAAAATTTCACATTTTTAGGTAAATAAAGTTAAACAAGAAAAGGCTGCTTTAAATTCAGAAGTTCTTGAACAGAGAAAAGTCTTAGAAAAATGTAATAGAGGTAAGTCTGTCCAATCTTTTTTTTTCTTAAATACATATGCAGTTTGTTCTGTTTCTGTATATTTTGTGTCATTTTACACCTGTGCCTAAGGATGACTGTAAATAAAATCTTCTCCTATGTTGTATTTTTCTAGCAGAGTGTCTCTCTGATTCTTACTGTTTTATTACCCAACTTAAAGTCTGGGGACATCTAAAAGTGATTTCACTTGAGGAACAAAGAACCCACTCATTTTGAAACTTCAAACTGAAATACTACTTCTGACTTACATGTGTCCTGGGATCATGGCCTTTTTAGCTATCCCCTCAGCATTTATATACTTGGTAGGTTATTTAGTAAATCTCAATCTGAAGAGGTTAGGCTGTCTACATAAAACATGTAACATTATATGATGAAATTTTAAATTAAGAGGATGTGGAAAATGGGGCAAAGGAAAGTGAAAGTTAGATTGATAGACAAAGTGGGTACTTGTTCTGAGGTCTTGCACATTTCCTGCCTGTATGCCTGAAATCTGGCTCTAAGCTGTCTGGCAGACAGTGTAATAAGAGATTGATGATCATTTAAATGAATCACATGAAAACGAACCTGCTGTTTAAGAAAAGCAGACCTGGTCTCCTGGTGAGGAAATGCCAGGCATGGTAGCATGTTTCTTTAGTCCCAGCTACTCAGTGGCTGCATCCAGAGAAAACTTCGTGTAATTTGGTTAACCTTATCCACTTAGTTGTAAAGTGCAGCATCAGCTCTCATGGGGGCTCTTTCATGTGTCTCCCAGTTTAAGACAAGGAAGTGATGCCCAGTGTTCTGCAGAAGTAATTCTGGGAGTGGTAGGAAGAACTTGAGATACTTTCTGTTCTCTCTTTTTCCTTAGCCACTCTCTTTCGTTATTTAGAAGCTGCAACACTCAAAGGAAACCTTTGCGACCCAGAGCCTTTTCTATTGTTATTGGGGGTAGCGCTCACTCTTTTTGTCATTAATCAACTGGAATATTTTCATAAACAAAGGACCTTGTAGGCTGGGCGTGGTGACTTACACCTGTAATCCCAGCACTTTGGGAGGCCGAGGCGGGCAGATCACAAGGTCAGGAGATCAAGACCATCCTGGCCAACATGCTGAAACCCTGTCTCTTCTAAAAATTCAAAAATTAGCCAGGCATGGTGACATGCACCTGTAGTCCCAGCTATTTGGGAGGCTGAGGTGGGAGAATTGCTTGAACCCAGGAGGCGGAGGTTGCAGTAAGCCAAGATTGTGCTATTGCACTCCAGCCTGGCAACAGAGTGAGACTCCATCAATCAGTCAATCACCTTGTAGTTAAATATGGGTGATCTGCTGGGTTGTAACATTTCTTTAAGTTTTTCTGTATTTAAATATAGAAACGGTGTAGAATTTTCAGTCTTGATTTACTATGCTAGAAAAAAAGGATTCTTCAAGGGTTAATGATGTAGCTCTTACCTTCAGAGAGCCCCCTGTCTAGGAAGAGGGAAAAACTATATAAATAAATACCTGACAAGGACCAACCTGATTTCTTTCAGATTCCATGTTAGAAGGGCCAGAACATGTGAAAATTCACTTTTTATTATAGTGTTCTAGACATAGAAAAGAGAGTCAATTATCTTGCCAGGGCTTGAGGTAGTCATAGTGTTCTTTGTTTTCTTCACGAAATTTCTTTTTAAAATAGGCTTTAACATAATTTGGCTCTTAGGGACCTATAATTCACACCAGAAATCACCACTTATATTGCTTTACTTGAGTAAGATTATTAGTCTTTCGTCTGAGGAGATTGTAGATTTACAGAATACAGAGTTTGAAATTCTATGTCATTACCCAGCAAACCAATCCTTAGTCAGTTAGGATTGAAGTGCCCTGGCGGAACAGAGTGTGAAAGCAGCTGTTAAGAGAGCCTTTTGAAAGGTTCGGTTGGTATGACTCAGCTCAGGGATGAGGTGCCTCAGCAGAAGCGGATGGGCAGTGTGCTGTCTGCCTAGCTTGTGCCTGATATCTAATGGCGTCACCACTGCTCTGTCCTGTCATTATCACTATTTAACAAAATAGGTCACTGAATGTTGAAAATAGCAAAGAATTCATGTTGCTTTTATTTGACAGGACCTTCCTTTTGAGGCTTTCTGTCTTGCAGTAACTCTTTGGTACAAAGCTGTGACTCTTTGGGTCTGGATGGATCTAAGGCTGTTTCTCTCCCTTGTAAATATGCAGAACACTTAAAAATAACATATATGGCCAGGCGCAGTGGCTCACACCTATAAACCCAGCACTTTGGGAGGCTGAGGTGGGCAAATTACTTGAGATCAGAAGTTTGAGACCAGCCTAGTCAACATGGTAAAGCCTCATCTCTACTAAAATACAAAAATTAGCTGGATGTGGTGGCATGTATCTGTCTGTAATCCCAGCTACTCGGGAGGCTGAGGCATAAGAATCGCTTAAACCCAGGAGTGGGGAGGTTGCAGTGAACCGAGATTGTGCTACTATACTCCAGCCTGGGCAACAGACATAGCGAGACTCCGTCTCTCAAAATAAATGTATAAATAAATATTCAGGTAATATACTTTTTTTGGTGGAAAATTTAGATTCACGTAAGCAGAGAAAAAAATTTCCACCTTTACAATCCAGAGATGAGCACTAGTAACATTTTAGTGTATATTCTTCTAATCTTTAAAAAACTATATATATATATGTTGAATTTTTTTGTTAAATATGTTTATAATATATATGTGGAAGACAGAGGAAATACCAGTAAAAGAAATCTCTTTATACTTGCTGGTACCTTACAAACCCGTGATCATCCCTCTCTACTCATACCCCTCCCTTGAATTTTTATCATTTCCTTTCTTTTATTTGTAGTTTTGCCAAATATGTATATATCCCTAAACAGCATTGTTTAATTTTGTGTATTTTTGAACTCTATATAAATGGAATCATTTTTTCCTATAACCTTCTGCCACTTTTTGTGTTTGTGAGATTCATGCGTGTGGACAGGCATAACTGTGGTATGTTTATTTTCGCTGCTCCATACTATTTTATTCGATGACCACACTAAAATTATTTCAAGTAGTATCCTATTGGTAGACTTTGGGTTGTTTCCAGATTTTGGCTATTCTGAGTCATGCTGTAATGAAAAATTGTTAGACATATAATCTGGTGCACATGTCCAAGAGTTTCTCTAAGACACATTGTTAGACATATAATCTGGTGCACATGTCCAAGAGTTTCTCTAAGACACATGCCAAATGTAAAATTTTATCTTCAGTTTTTTTTATTGTATACCAAATTGTATGAGATCTGTCAGTTTACAGTCCGATTAAAAGTATATTTGTTCCCATGGTTTTGTGTCCTCTCCAAATTTAATAAAGCCAGGCTTTAAAATTTGGTCAGTTACCTCTTGGACAGGTGTAGGTAGTGTTTTTACTCTGCATCTCCCTGATTCCTAATGAAGATGAGCATCTTTCCACATGTTTATTGGCCTTTTGTAGATTTCCTTTTCTGTGAAATGGCTGTTGATGTGCTTTATCTGTGGCTTTTAAAGAACAAAAATGAAATTCATTTTGCACTAACTTTTGCAGTCTATTTTTTAAACTATATCACAAATGCCTTTCTATTGACTAAGTATGCTTCTACAATATAATTTTGATGGCAGAATCATATTTCTTCTACCACAGTTTGCGGATCCTTCAGTGTTAGAGCATTATGTCATTTTTGTTAGCAGTGAGGTAGAGAGCATCCTTGCAACCAGATGTCTGCATATTCTCCTGTGTTACTATCTTAGCATACGCATTTCTAGAAGTGGGATTATTCAAAGTATATGAATAGTTTTAGATTTTTGATTTACGTTGCCAAGTTGTTCTCCAAAAAGGTTTTATCAATTTATATGCCAACCAGGAATGCATGAGGGTACCTGTATGCCTGTATGAAGAATCTTTTCAACACTGTTTTTCATCCATATTCCAGATTATTTGTGTGACTTATTGTCTGGGGTTTTCTTCCTTTATCTTCTTAAGTGTCCATATTAGCTGTAGAAGAGTATGAAGAGATGCAAGTAAACCTGGAGCTGGAGAAGGACCTTCGAAAGAAAGCAGAGTCATTTGCACAAGAGGTGAGTATCTTGTAAAAAAAAAAGTTTTTTTTTTTGTTTTTTTTTTTTTTTGAGATGGGTTCTCTTTCTGTCGCCAGGCTGGAGTACAGTGGCGTGATCTTGGCTCACTGTAACCTCTGACTCCCTGGTTCAAGCTTTTCTCCTGCCTCAGCCTCCCAAGTAGCTGGGATTACAGGCATGTGTCACCACGCCCAGCTAATTTTTGTATTTTTAGTAGAGACGGGGTTTCACTGTGTTGGCCAGAATTATCTCGATCTCCTGATGTTGTGATCCACCTGCCTCAGCCTCCCAAAGTGTTGGGATTATAAGCATGAGCCACCACTCCTGGCAGTAAAAGCCTTTTTAATTTTTGTTTTTTAAGCGATCTTGCAGATGACATATCAGACAAATTCTTGAGGTTAAATAAGAGCTTACCAGTTTGAATCAAGGATGTGCTGGTTTTGGGAAATAGATACAGAATAGTATCAAGTTCATTGTCAAAATCTGGGCTCAAATTTTGACCATGTCATTTACTAGTTGTATGACCTCTGAGCAATTCTTTAGCCTCTGAGGGCTTCACTTTTACCATCTGTAAAATGGACAATATATAGACTTGACCAAGCAGATTTTAATGGGAAAAATTTTAAAAAGTGTTGTGTAAACTATAAAATGCTGTGTAAGGAAAAGGAATTGCATTTGGAGATACCCGTGACTTGTGATGGAAAGTCCAGCCTGGGTGGATGTCTGTACATTTCAAATAGGCCTTAAAACCTGGGATGTATCTCCATAGACCATCTCAGTTAACAGGATTATGGTATCAGCATTTCTCTTCAGCCACTGTACAGTGCTGTCATTATGCCAGGTGATTCTTCCACTGGCTGTGGAGCACTGCCATGTAGTATATTCATTATCTCAGCCTTTCACCAGCTACTGATCTTCCTCTCATGTTAGAGATCAGCTTGTTCTGGCTTACCTGTTGACATGCAGTCATCAGGTCTTCCGTGGCCCTGGGGCTGGTTTCCAGGGGGATGAGGAATTCACCAGTCAGCTAAATTCAAAAGCTGGTCTGTAATGAGATCTGCATCCTGTAGCAGTAGTTTGAATTTGTGTGCATACTTTGGTTTGAGGGGAACTAGCTCAGAAAATGTACAACAACAGTCCTAGGTAGAGGCATCCAAGGCATAGAAGAAAGACAAAGCATGCCCTTATGGGAATGGCATTTGAAAATTCGATGATGGTTTTGTGGGGATCTTTCTGTGCTTGAGCATAGCTGTAATAGCAATGAACTCTACCAAAGGTTTAGGCCAAGTAGATCTGATTTGAAATATTATGATGCGTTTTATTCAGAGAGTTTAATCAAAGATGAGTAAATATTGTTCTCTTATTACTTGGAAGAAAGAAAAAAGAATTGAAGTGTGTCAGAGCCCTCTGGAAAATGTTGCAGCAATATAAATAATGCAACAAAATAAACAGTGGAGGGGGAGGGGAAGCAGAGATAATGTGAAGATGCCTTTATTGCAAAACTGGAAAGGTTGGCTGATTTTGACCTGAATAGCAGGGTCTCATTTCAAGACATTTTCAGTTTTCCATCTGTTGTTTGCACAATGATGTTGGAATACAAAGCAGCTCAGAGAAAAACTTGAAGGCCACGTAGTAGCAGAGAAGACAGATGGAAGAAGCAAGGTTGCACTAAGAGGACAAAAATGAATGATTGACTCTGCCATTCACCTGGTCTTAAGCCTTAGTGGTTGGTGAAAACAATGATGCTGACATGTTAACCTAGAATGAGGAGGTAGAAGTTTGAGGAAAGAAAGAAAGCAAGAGCAATGGTACTTATGTTATTGGTAGCATAAATATTTGCAATGGTACTCAACAGTTTTACAATGTGTAGATTCAATCTACACGATAGTGAGAAGAAAACTTTTTAAAAAAAGCACTAGATTGGAACTAGTATATTTTCCTTTTTATGTAGTTTATGCATACTCAGATTTTCAACAGATAAGTACTGCACAAAGGCATGTGACTTAGTGTAACAACAGAATTCCATTCTTATTTATTTATTTTTTTTTTATTTGAGAAGGAGTTTCCCCCTCTGTCACCCAGGCTAGAGTGCAGTGGCATGATCTTGGCTCACTGCAACCTCCGCCTCCCAGGTTGAAGCAGTTCTCTGCCTCAGTCTCCCGATTAGCTGGGATTATAGGTGCCCACCACCAGGCCCAGCTAAGTTTTGTATTTTTAGTAGAGACAGGGTTTCACCATCTTGGCCAGGCTGGTCTTGAACTCCTGACCTTGTGATCCACCCACCTCAGCCTCCCAAAGTACTGGGATTTCAGGCACAAGCCACCACACCTGGCCCAGAGTCCCATTCTTTTGCATTTTACTTACCACTTAGGGCATTCAGCAAACATCTTATTGTGCTGGAGACTGTGCTGACATTGGGTATCCAATGGTGAAGAAAGCAACTATGACCCCTGACCTCTTGGAGCTTATGGGCTAGAGCCTTAGAAATCAATTTTTAAGGGTATTTACTTTATATTTTTAATTAAAAAGGAATATGTGTGCCTCTTGCAAAGATACATATATTTTCTAAATGTATAAACCAAAAATTGAAAGCTCCCCTACTCTTAACTCCCACTAGTTCATTTAAAAAACAAAACCAAAAACATCCCCAACAAGAAGAAAACTATCAATTATCTTCATAACTATATTAAATTTTAAAATTTCTTCAACACATTTAAATTTTTTGGCCAGGAGTGGTGGCTCACACCTGAAATCTCAGCACTTTGGGATGCCAAGGTGGGCGGATCACTTGAGTCCAAGAGTTTAAGACAAACATAGTGAAACCCCATCTCTACTAAAACTACGAAAATTAACCAGGTGTGGTGGCAGGCACCTGTAATCCCAGCTACTCAGGAGAAGAATCTTTTGAACCCAGGAGATGGAGGTTGCAGTAAGCTAAGAGCCAAGATCATGCCATTGCACTCTAGCTTGGATGACAGAGCAAGGCTCTGTCTAAAAAAAAAAAAAATTAACGATAGACTTTCTTGTGCTTTTGAATATATTTTATTGTTAGTCACTGTAGTCTTTCTTTTCTAAGTTATGGATGCCTTGTTCAACATATTCCCAATATACCTTAAGACTACTATAAAATCCCTTCCCCCTTCCCCGCAAACAACTCAGATGGTATTTGAGTGTTAATTTGGAAAGAATGAATTAAATATTAGCAACGTAAGATTTTCTTCTCATTCTTTTTTTCAAAAAAAATTTATGAAATTTCTCTGAAATTCTGATACTATGATGTTATTTGCTAAGAGACCAATTTCATAACTCTTAACTGATGAGTTATTACCATAACTGAAACCCAAATTTATCAGTGTTTGGTAACTTAATTCTCTTGAAATATTTCTTTTAGAAAATGTGATATGTAGAATTTTCATGTTAATATCTTTAAGTTTAGAAAAACTAACCTAATAAATATTTTTCAAGTTACCATGGTTATTTAAAGGAAGTCCCTTTCTATATATGCTTTCCTCTTGTAATATTACTGTTCACGGATTGTTACAGGCATTTTGCAAAAGAAATTCATGTTATTAACATCCCTAATATTTGATGTTAAATATCTTTACTCTCATTTCTCCAAGATAACAAAGTTGAGGTAATTTACAATCGTGAAGTTAAACAGGTTTTTCTGAGTGCTACATGGAAAAGGAGCACCAGCTCTTTTTTCCGAGAGATAGCAAAGCACATAGCAGCAGTTCAGGGAAAGTCATAAAGCCCTCTTTGCTCTGATGGCTAGCCTGTGCTCTGCTTTGTTTTACCTCTGAGTTCATTGCCCCGTTCTTGTTCCCCCACTGTCTGCTTCCTCTCTGCCTGCTCTGAGAGGCCTCACCTGCTGGAAACAGGAAGCCCATGTCAGCTGCTGTTTGCTGGCTGATCACGAAGACTCCCTCAAGTACTTTCAAATGCCGGCAAGGGACACCAGCTAGCTAAGTTTAGAGAGAGAAAAGCGTATTAGAAAGAAATTACTGGTCAGGCCCATTGGCTCATATCTGTAATCTAAGCATATTGGGAGGCTGAGGCTGGCGGATCACCTGAGGTCAGGAGTTGGAGACCAGCCTGACCAACATGGAGCAACCCTGTATCTACTTAAAGTACAAAATTAGCCAGGTGTGGTAGCAGGCACCTGTAATTCCAGCTACTCAGGAGGCTGAGGCAGGAGAATCGCTTGTACCTGGGAGGTAGAGGTTGTGGCGAGCCCAGATAGCACACTCCAATCTGGGCAACGAGTGACACTCTGTCAAGAAAGAAAGAAAGAGAGAGAGAGAGAAAGAGAGAGAGAGAGAGAAAAGAAAGAAAGGAAAGAGAGAGAGAGAAAGAAAGAAAGAAAGAAAGAAAGAAAGAAAGAGAAAGAAAGAAAGAAAGAAACAAAGAAAAGGAAAGAAAGAAAGAGAGAGAGAGAGAGAGAAAGAAAGAAATTATTGGGCCTTGTGCAGTAGCTCACACCTGTAATCCCAGCGCTTTGGGAGGCTGCGGCAGGAGGATCACCTGAGGTCAGGAGTTTGAGACCAGCCTAGCCAACATGGTGAAACCCCATCTCTATGAAAAATACAAAAATTAGCTGGGCATGGTGGTAGGCACCTGTAGTCCCAGCTGCTTGGGAGGCTGTGGCATGAGAATCACTTGAACTGGGAGGCGGAGGTTGCAGTGAGCTGAGATTACGCCACTGCACTCCAGCCTGGGCAACAGAAAGAGACTGTCTCAAAAAAAAAAAAAAAAAAAAAAAAAAATTACTGTAATCATAATGGTCATCCAAAATAATTCATTTCAATTAAACCACTGGTCTGAAGCTTAAGATACTGTGATGGAATATTGATTACTCTTTCTTGGTATACTGAATCTGCATCTTATCCTTCTCCAGCCAAGCACACATGCACGTATTCTCCCTCATTGCGGTCTCTATACCTCTCACTGTCACAGAGAAGTTAGGAGTCAAATGGAAGAAGAATGTGGGTTTCATGTATGTACAATAGTTTATTTACCTGTTCGACTTTGTAGGTGTATTAGTTCTGCAGAACCCGCTTGTAGTTTTTTGTTGTAGGCTTTTCATAAATCCCTGCACAGGCAAAGGAGGAAGCCTTCTGACCTTTTTTTTTTTTTCCTTTCCTAGGAAGACATACGGGGGAGAAAATGTTAGTGTTTTAGTGTAATGTATTCATGATATGACTTTGATTTGGAAATCAATACTAATCAGGATCTTAAGGATTGTATAAATCATTAAAGCTGTGGTTTGCCACATAGAGACTGACAGAAAATATTTTTGTCCTGAGTTTTATTTGCTGACTTTTTCTGTTACATGATGGATGAAGTTGTTGGACAAACTAGTATGTGGGCTGTAGCAAATCATTTTACAGTTCAGAGATTTCAGTTCAATTACTGTGTAAATTTTAAAATGCTGAAATTTTTAAATTTTAAAAACCTGAAAAAAATCTGAAGCTCTACTATGTAAATTTTAAAACACTGTTAATAATCTGAAAAAAATGTTAAGCTCTACTGTGTAAATTTTAAAATGCTGTTAAAAATCTGAAAAAAAATCTGAAGCTGTACTATAAAATTGGTAGGCCAGATTTCAGAGTTTACAAAAACATTTCGTACTTGAAATCACTCACTGGCCAAATTGGGTAGAGTGTTAAGGAAAAGAAATAACAGGTGAATAGAAATTAATGTTGTTTTCAATCATGTAAAGTTGTGAGGATTTGATGAATAACATGAATTGCTTAATAAAGTGCTCAGTAAATATTAGTAAATATTAGTATACTGTCTCCCTTCTCCCCTTTACCCTTCTACTGTTAACTATTTTCATCACTGAGGAGAAACTAATTAGTTTAAAACAAAACATTAGATCTAGTAAATAGTAGAGGAACTTAGCCAGATGGTTAAGAGCTTGGGCATGTAAACCAGATATGGGTTTAAATCCTGGTCTTTAATTTATGTGTGTTCTTGGGGAAGTTGTTTAACTTCTTTGAGCCTCAGTTACCTTATCAGTAAAATTATATGATAGTAGTGTCTAATTGATAATGTTGTTTTAAGGATTATATGATATAATGAATGTAAAATGGTTCCCACCATATCGATCACATTGTTTAGTGTTACTTATTCATAGTAGAACACTTTAATAGGATTGATGTAAGGATTAAAATAATGTATATAAAATATTTAGTGGTGTACACAAGGTAAGTTTTTGAGAAATATTAGCTACTGCTATTAGTATTAGTGTATTTTAAAGCAATAATAAAATATTAAAATTAAAGAATAAGTCCAGCTTATTGTATAAATATCTTGTTGGGGCAGGAGTAAAGGTATTAAAGATTATATAAATTAGGAATGAAATCATAGCAATCACGACTTCTAAAACTGTTAATACAATTCAGAATTTGCCTTTAATTTGTTGTTGTTGTTGTTTCTGAGACAGAGTCTCGCTCTGTCACCCAGGGTGGAGTGCAGTGGCGTGATCTTGGCTTACTGCAACGTTAGCCTCCTGGGTTCAAGCGGTTCTCCTGCCTCAGCCTCCTGAGTAGCTGGGATTACAGGTATATGCCACCACACCTGGCTAATTTTTGCATTTTTAGTAAAGACAAGAGTTTCACCATGTTGGTTAGGCTGGTCTCGAACTCCTGACCTCATGATCCATTTGCCTCAGCCTCCCAAAGTGCTGGGATTAGAGGTGTGAGTCACCATGCCCCGCCCATCTTTAATGTTTTAATAAAAACTCTGTGTACTTTTTTTTTTGGCTGAAGTTACAGTTGAGGAGATACGTTAAATTGACTGATACATACATTCTTGTAATGAACTTTTGCAGATGTTCATTGAGCAAAACAAGCTAAAGAGACAAAGCCACCTTCTAATGCAGAGCTCCGTCCCTGATCAGCAGCTTTTGAAAGCTTTAGATGAAAATGCAAAACTCACCCAGCTCCTTGAAGAGGAGAGAATTCAGCATCAACAAAAGGTAACCCATTTTCTTCTGGATTCTTAGATACACACACGTGTACATGCATACACACTCATATTTAAGATGAAGGGCACCAGTGGAGTCAGTTCATTCATTTATTGTTTCATATTTTGCCTTAGTTACTAAGTTCTTCCAACCGCCTCTTAGAAAAAAGTAACTAAATGAACTTAATTTAGCAAAACTGAAATTTGTAACACACTGTTGTAGACTTTATAATAATTTTTAAACTGTCCAAAGGGTCAGAAGAAGCAAGGGAAAATGATATAACTCAAAAAGAGCTTGGATAATACAGGGTCTGGAAATTTGCTTTTTGGAAATCTTGCCTTTTTCGGAGACTACACACACTAAGAGGATCTATTCATCTCAGAGCACTTGTTGGATGGCATAGGTTTTATTCAGAGAGGAAAATGAAAGTCCATATTAGTAGTAATTGTTTGCTTAGAGAAAGTTTCTGATTTTGTAAACTTGCACAAATGTGTATGTTTAAAGACTTCCTAAGTGGTTGTTTCAATTTGATAAGTGGAGCGATTCCAGCCTACCTCTGTGTGCCAGAAAGAAAGGATAATCATTGTGGTAGATTAGAGGAGAATGTGGGAGAGGAGAAGTGAAGAAGTGGAAAAAAGACTTTCAAATTAAAGAAACCACTTAAGAAAAATTACATCAGTGTTTATACTGCTTATAATGTGCCTCATTTGGGAAGGAAAGAGTGTCAGTTGCTACTTGTTATCACCTGTCACAGTCTCTGTGGCAACAGTATTGACATTTAATCCCTGGAAGTCCTGAAGTTTTTACAAAGTTGATGTTGAGGTTGAGTTGATTTTTTTCCTCACTAAGAAATGTTGATATATGGTAGCTGGCAAAATGGCTGAATAGGAACAGCTCCAGTCTGCAGCTCCCAGAGACCAACGCAGATGGGAGGTGATCTCTGCATTTCCAACTGAGGTACCCTGCTGATATCATTGGAATGGGTTAGTCAGTGGGTGCAGCCCACAGAGGGCAAGCTGAAGCAGGATGGGGTGTCGCCTCACCCAGGAAACACAAGGGATTGGGGAACTCCCTCCACTAGCCAAGGGAAGCTGTGAGGGACTGTGCTGTGAGGAAGGAAGCACTCTGGCCCATATACTATGCTTTTCCCATGGTCTTCATAACCCGTGGACCTGGAGATTCCCTCAGGCGCCTATACATACCACCAGGGTACACACACAACTGGGCAGCCATTTGTGCAGACACCAAGCTAGCTGCAGGAGTTTCTTTGTACCCCCGTGGCGCCTGGAGCACCAGCAAGATAGAACCATTAACTCCCCTGAAAAGGGGGCAGGAGTCAGGGAGCCAAGTGGTCCGGCTCTGCAGATCCCACCCGCATAAAGTCCAGCAAGCTAAGATCTACTGGTTTGAAATTCTGGCTGCCAGCACAGCAGTCTGGGATGCTTGAGCTTGGTGGGTGAGGGGTGTCTGCCATTACTGAGGCTTGAGTAGGTGGTTTTCCCCTCATAGTGTAAACAAAGCCACCCAGAAGTTCAAACTGGGTGGGGCACACTGCAGCGATGCAAAGCTATTTATAGCCAGATTCACCAAGATTGAAATGAAGGAAAAAATGTTAAGGGCAGCCAGAGAAAGGTCAGGTTGCCCACAAAGGGAACCATCAGACTAACAGTGGATCTCTCTGAAGAAACCCTATGAGCCAGAAGAGAGTAGGGGCCAGTATTCAACATTCTTAAAGAAGGGTCCGGGTGCGGTGGCTCACGCCTGTAATCCCAGCACTTTGGGAGGCTGAGGTGGGTGGATCACGAGGTCAAGAGATCGAGACCATCCTGGTCAACATAGTGAAACCTGTCTCTACTAAAAATACAAAAAATTAGCTGGGCATGGTGGCGTGTGCCTATAATCCCAGCTGCTCAGGAGGCTGAGGCAGGAGAATTGCCTGAACCCAGGAGGCGGAGGTTGCGGTGAGCCGAGATCACGCCATTGCACTCCAGCCTGGGTAACAAGAGCAAAACTCCATTTCAAAAAAAAAAAAAAAGAAAAGAAAAGAATTTTCAACCCAGAATTGCATATCCAGCCAAACTAAGCTTCATGAGCGAAGGAGAAACAAAATCCCTTATAGACAAGCAAATATGAAGAGATTTTGTCACCACCAGGCCTGCCTTACAAGACCTTCTGAAGGAAGCACTAAATATGGAAAGAAAAAACCAGTATGAGCCACTGCAGAAACATACCAAATGATAACAACCATCGACACTATGAAGAAACTGAAACAACTAATGGGCAAAATAACCAGCTAGCATCATAATGACAGTATGAAATTCACACATAATAGTATTAACCTTAAATGTAAATGGGCTAAATGCTGCAGTCAAAAGATGCAGACTGGCAAATTGTATAAAGAGTCAAGACCCATCAGTGTGCTGTATTCAGGAGACCTATCTCATGTGCAAAGACACACATAAGCTCAAAGTAAAGGAATGGAGGAATATTTGCCAAGCAAATGGAAAGCAAAAAAAGCAGGGGTTGCAATGCTGTTCTCTAATAAAACAGACTTTAAACCAACAAAAATAAAAAACAAAATAAAGGACATTACATAATGGTAAAGGAATCAATGCAACAAGAAGAGCTAACTGTCCTAAATACATGTGGACTCAATACAGGAGCACCCAGATTCATAAAACAAGTTCTTATAGACCTACAAAGAGACTTAGATTCCCACACAATACTAATGGGAGATGTTAACACCCTACTGTCAATATTAGATCAACGGGACAGAAAATTAGCAAGGATATTCTGGACTTGAACTCAGCTCTGGACCAAGTGGACCTCATAGGCATCTACAGAATTCTCCACCCCTAATCAACAGAATATATATTCTTCTCAGCACCACATGGCACTCATTCTATAATTGACCACATAATTAGCGGTAAAACACTCCTCAGCAAAGGCAGAAGAATGGGGATCTTAGCAGTCTCTCAGACCACAGTGCAATCAAATTAGAACTAAGGATTAAAAAACTCACTCAACACTGCACAACTATGTGGAAACTGAACAACCTGCTTCTTAAAGTCTATTAGATAAATTACAAAATTCAGGCAGAAATAAATAGGTTCTTTGAAACCAATGAGAACAAAGACACAATGCATAAGAATCTCTGGGACACAGTAAAAGCAGTGTTTAGGGGCAAATTTATAGCACTAACTGCCCACAGGAGAAAACAGGAAACATCTAAAATCAACACCCAAACCTTACAATGAAAAGAACTAGAGAAGCAAGAGCAAACAAATTCAAAAGCTAGCAGAGAACAAGAGATAACTAAAATCAGAGCAGAACTGAAGGTGATAGAGACATGAAAAATCCTTAAGAAAAATCAGTGGATCCAGGACCTGGTGTTTTGAAAAGATTAACAAAATAAGTAGCCACTAGCCTGACTAATAAAAAAGAAAAGAGAGAGTAATCAAATATATGCAATAAAATATGTAAAGGGAAGATCACCACTGATCCCACAGAAATACAAACTACCATCAGAGAATACTAAAAACATCTCTATTCAAATAAACTAGAAAACCTAGAAGAAATGGATAAATTAACTGAACACATACACCCTCCCAAGACTAAACCAGGAAGAAGTTGAATCCCTGAATACACCAATAACAAGTTCTGAAATTGAGGCAGTAATTAATATCAATCAAGAAAATACCAGGACCACACAGATTCACAGCCAAATTCTACCAGAGATACAAAGAGGTACCATTCCTCCTGAAACTATTCCAAACAATAGAAAAAGAGAGAGACTCCTCCCTAACTCATTTTATGAGGCCAGCATCATCCTCAAATGAAAACCTGGCAGAGACACAACAAATAAGAAAATTTCAGGCTAATATCCCTGATGAACATTGATGTGAAAATCCTCAATAAAATACTGGGAAACCAAATCCAGCAGCACATCAAAAAGCTTATCCACCATGATCAAGTTGGCTTCATCCCTGGGATGCAAGGCTGGATCATCATACAGAAATTGATGCATGTAATCTATCACATAAACAGAAACAATGACAAAAAGCACACGATAATCTCAATAGATGCAGAAAAGGCCTTCAATAAAATTCAACACCCCTTCATGGTAAAAACTCAATAGACTAGGTATTGATGGAAGATGTGTGAAAATTATAAGAGCTATTTATGACAAATCCATAGCCAGTATCATACTGAATGGGCAAAAGTTGGAAGTATTCCCTTTGAAAACCAGCACAAAACAAGACAAAATGTCCTCTCTCACCATGCCTTTTCAACATAGTATTGGAAGTTCTGGCTAGGGCAATCAGGCAAGAGAAATAAATAAAGGGTATTCAAATAGGAAGAGAGGAAGTCAAAATGTCCCCATTTGCAGATGACATGATTGTGTATTTGGAAAACCCCATTGTTTCAGGCCAAAATCTCCTTAAGCTGATAAGCAACTTCAGCAAAGTCCCAGATACAAAATCAGTGTGCAAAAATTACAAGCATTCCTTTACACCAATAATAGACAAACAGCCAAATCATGAGTGAACTCCCATTCACAATTGCTACAAAAAGAATAAAATACCTAGGGATACAACTCACAATGGATGTGAAGGACCTCCTTAAGGAGAACTACAAACCATGGCTCAAGATAATAGGAGAGGACATACACAAATGGAAAAATATTCCATGCTCATGAACAGGAAGCATCAATATTGTGAAAATGGCCATACTGCCCAAAGTAATTTGTAGATGCAATGTTATCCTCATCAAGCTATCATTGACTTGCTTTACAGAATTAGAAAAAAAAAAACTACTTTAAATTTCATATGGAATCAAAAAAGAGCCCATATAGCCAAAACAATTCTAAGCAAAAAGAAAAAAGCTGGAGGCATCATGCTACCTGACTTCAAACTATACTACAAGGCTACAGTAACCAAAACAGCATGGTACTGGTACCAAAACAGAAATGTAGACCAGTGGAATAGAACAGAGGCCTCAGAAATAATGCCACACATCTACAACCATCTGATCTTTGGCAAACCAGACAAAAACAAGCAATGGAGAAAGGATTCTCTGTTGAATAAATGGTGTTGGGAAAACTGGCTAGCCATATGCAGAAAACTGAAACTGGACCCCTTCCTTACACTTTATAAAAAAATTAACTCCAGATGGATTAAAGACTTAAATGTAAGATCTAAAACCATAAAAATTCTAGAAGAAAACCTAGATAATGCCATTCAGGACATAACCATGGGCAAAGATTTCATGACTAAAACACTAAAATCAATGGCAACAAAAGCCAAAATTGACAAATGGGATCTAATTAAATTAAGGAGCTTCTGCATAACAAAAGAAACTAGCATCACAGTGAACAGGCAACTTACAGAATGGGCAAAAAGTTTTGCAATCTATCCCTCTAACAAAGAGCTAATATTCAGACTCTACAAGGAACTTAAACAAATATACAAGGAAAAAACAACCCCATCAAAAAGCAGGTGAAGGATATGAACAGACACTTCTTTAAAGAAGACATTTATATGGCCAATAAACTTATGAAAAAAAGCTCATCATCACTTGTCATTAGAGAAATGCAAATCAAAACCACAATGAGATACCATCTCATGCCAGTTAGATTGGTGATCATTAAAAAGTGAGGAAACAACAAATGCTGGATAGGATATGGAGAAATAGGAATGCTTTTACACTGTCAGTGGGAGTGTTAATTATTTCCACCATTGTGGAAGACAGTGTAGCAGTTCCTCAAGGACCTAGAACCAGAAATACCATTTAACCCATCAAACCCATTACTGGGTATATACCCAAAGGATTATCAGTTATTCTGCTGTAAAGACATATGGACAAATACATTTATTGCAGCACTGTTTACAATAGCAAAGACTTGGAACCAACCCAAATGCCCATCAATGATAGACTAGATAAGGAAAATGTGGCACATGTACATCATGGAATACTATGCAGCCATAAAAGGGATGTGTTCATGTCCTTTGCAGGCACATGGATGAAGCTGGAAACCATCATTCTCAGCAAACGAACACAGGAACAGAAAACCAAACATTGCATGTTGTTACCCATAAGTGGGAGTTGAACAATGAGAACACAAGGACACAGGGAGGAGGACATCACACACTGGAGCCTGCCAGGGGGTGTGGGGCAAGGGGAAGGATAGCATTAAGAGAAAGACCTAATGTAGATGACGGGTTGATGAGTGCAACAAACCACCATGGTACATGTATACCTATGTAACAAACCTGCATGGTCTGCATATGTATCCCAGAAGTTAAAGTATAATTTAAAAATAAAAATAAAAAAGAAATGTTGATATATATGTAGAGTACCTCTAAATGGATGGGTGGTAACAATCCCCTGGGAAAGAGAACTGGAGAACAGGGTGGGAGGGAAAGAATTTCATTCTTTCTTTTGTCCTCATGTATAGGAATTACCTTTTCAAGAAAAGAGAGACAAAAAGAATGGGCTTTTGTTTCAGTTTATGCTAGAATTTAACTTTTGGTTCTGAAAAGTCTGAAAAGTCCAGCTACTTACAGTTAAGTCATTTAGTAAATAATACATGCCTGGAACCTACTGAATTGAACTGAGGTATAGGACTAAATTGTTACATATATAACCTTGTTGGGTACTGAAGATCAGATAAAACTTATTAATGAAATTTTAACAATTACTGCTTCTAAAACTGTTACAGTCTTTATACATACAGTTATTCTGGATAGTCTTTCATGTACAGATGATCCTTGACTTATGATGGGGTTATGTCCTGATAAACCCATGTTCATTGAAAATACTGTAAATTGAAAGTAATACACCTAACCTACTGAACATCATAGTTTAGCCTAGCTTACCTTAAATGTGCTCAGAATACTTACATTAGGTTACAATTGCACAGAATCATCTGGAAACATAGTATACTCCCCACACTTTTTTGGCACTAGGGACCAGATTCGTGGAAGACCATTTTTCCATGGACCAGGGAGGGAAGAATATGGGGGATGATTTTGGGATGAAACTGTTCCACCTCAGTTCATTAGGCATTAGATTCTCATAAGGAGCATGCAACCCAGATCCCTCGCATGTGCATTTCACCATAGGGTTCATGCTTCTGTGAGAGTCTATTGCTGCCACTGATCTGACAGGAGGTGAGCCTGCTGCTCACCTTCTGCTGGGCAGCCTGTTTCCTAACAGGCCATGGACCAAGGCCTTGGGGCTGGGGACCCCTGCTCTAAAGTGTCAGTTGTTTACCTGCATGATCATGTGACTGACTGGGAGCTGTGGCTGGCTGCTGCTGCCCAGGATTGTAAGAGAGTATCTTATCACATACTGCCAGCCTGGGAAAAGATCAAAATCCAGAATTTGAAGTATGGTTTCTAGTGAATGCCTGTCGCTTTCACACCATTGTAAGTGGAACTGTATCTCAGACTATCCTAAATTGGGGACCATCTGTATGTGGCTTCAAATGTTTCTTAACTCTGTAAGTTCCCTTGCAGATGCAGGAGTCTTTTAAACACAGCATATGTTTTTTGCAATTATAAAAATAACATATGTTCCTTATAATAATTTTTTTAAATATAGCAAAAATTAAAGATTAACCAAGTATTCCATATTTTCGTGCATAGCTGAACTTTCTGTAAATATTTAATTTTGTGCATATGTATTATTTGTTTAAATGGAGTCATACCATGCATACTGTTTTATGACCTGATTTTTTTCCATTGGTAATATGTCTTCTCATGTTAGTATATAGTAAGCTATGTAATTTTTTTGGGGGGGAGGGGGACAGAGTCTTGTTTTTATTGCCCAGGCTGGAGTGCAATGGCATAATCTCAGCTCACCACAAACTCTGCCTCCCTGGTTCAAGTGATTTTCCTGCCTCAGCCTCCCGAGTAGCTGGGATTACAGGTGACCACCACCACACCCAGCTGATTTTTTGTACTTTTAGTAGAGACGGGGTTTCACTATGTCGGTCAGGCTAGTCTCAAACTCCTGACTCCTCCCAAAGTGCTGGGATTACAGGCATGAGCCACCATGCCTGGACAAGCTATGTGATTTTAAACAGTTGCATAGTATTTCATTTAATAAACATGCCATAATTTATTAAATCAAAAATATTGGTGGACATTTGGGTTATTTGCAACTTTTTGCTGTTGTAAAGAACACTTCAGGCCAGTGTGGTGGCTCATGCCTGTAATCTCAGCACTTTGGGAAGCCAAGACAAGTGGATCACATGAGGTCAGGAGTTCGAAATCAGCCTGGCCAACATGGTAAAACCCTGTCTCTACTAAATATATAAAAATTAGCTGGGTGTGGTGACACGTGTCTGTAGCCCCAACTACTCAGGAGGCTGAAGCACAAGAATTGCTTAAACCCAGGAGGCAGAGGTTGCAGTGAGCCCAGATTGCGCCACTGCACTCCAGTCTAAGCGAAAGTCTGAGACTATGTCTCAAAAAACCCACAAAAACATTTCAGTGAATATATTTCCACCCTTGTTGGAGTATTTTTAAAAATAATTCCTAAAAGTGGCATTACTGAATCAAGGGCCTTTCCTTTTTTATTAAAGACTTTTGATACTTATTACTAAGTTTATGTCCCCCAGGGGTCTTTTAAAATATTACCTGAATTTTTCTTTTGAAAAATGGGTACAAAAGTGACTCGTATTTAAAAATTAAAGTGTCTCTGAGGCTAACAAGCATACAAAAATGCCTAACATCACTAATCATTAGAGAAATGTAAATCAGAACCGCAGTGAGATACCATCTCACATCAGTCAGAATGGCTGTTATTAACAAGTCAAAAAATAACAGATGTTGGGAAGGTTTCGGAGAAAGGGACACATATACACTGCTGGTAGGAATGTAAGTTAGTTCAGCCATTGTGGAAAGCAGTGTGGTGATTTCTCAAAGGACTTAAAACAGAAATACCATTCAACCCAGCAATCTCATTATTGGATATTTGCCCAAAGGAATATAAATTATTCTACCATAAAGACACATGCATACATATATTCATTGTAGCACTATACGCAATAGCGAAGTCATGGAGTCAACCTTAGTGCCCATCAGTGGTAGACTGGATAAAGAAATGTGGTACATATTACACCATGGAATACTATGTAGCCATAAAAAGGAATGAGTAATGTCATTTGTAGCAATGTGAATGGAAATGGAGGCCATAATCCTAAGTAAACTAACATAGGAATAGAAAACCAAATACTACATGTTCTCACTTCTAGGTAGGAGCTAAGAATTGATTACACATGGACACAAAGAAGAGAACAACAGACACTGAGGCTTACTTGAGGGTTGAGGATGGGAGGAGAGAGAGGATCGGAAAACTACCTCCCAGGTATTATAGTTTTTACCTCAGTGACAAAATAATCTGTATGTCAAACCCCTGTGACACATGATTTACCTATATAACAAACCTACACATGTACCCTAGAAACTAAAATAAAACAAAAAAGTGTCTGGTACATAACTCCCTAGTAAATTTATTTTAAATCAAAGAGCTTATTATGATTTTGTGTTAATTGTATCAAGAATTTGCATGGTTTCTAAGATGGATTGGACTCTCTTTGCTACGAAATACAGTCAAAGGGAAGTACTTATTTTTTCCCTTTCCCTTCTTTAATGAATGCCTTTTTATGAGGCATCACTCATACAAGTCTTTTTTTTTTTAATAACTTGTAGGTCAAAGAATTAGAAGAGCAACTAGAAAATGAAACACTCCGCAAAGAAATACACAACCTCAAACAGCAGCTGGAGCTTCTAGAAGAAGATAAAAAGGAATTAGAATCGAAATATCAGAATTCTGAAGAGAAAGCCAGAAATTTAAAGCATTCTGGTAAAAGCATTGAGTAGGCTACGATGTTTTATTACTAATCTTTGAATTACTCATGCCTAGTACAAAACCTGGCACATAGTCTGGAACATCCACTGGAATGCTGTGGAAAAATAGCAAGACTTGTTTTTCAATTCCTTCATTTCTGACCATGCAATTTGGTAGAATAACTGCTGGGTTAAATAATTCACAAATATTTAGACTTCTTTTTTGGACTTAGAGCCCTCGTGAACATCATATACAGAATTAAGACACAGAGATACCATTAGCGTAGGAAGACCAAACTTTTCAGCATTTTTCAGATCTTCAGAGATGAGTGTTCATTATGTGCTTTATTTTGTTCACTTAGAGTGCATTTTAAAAAAGAATTATACTTTAAAAAATACTATCTTCATCCTTGGTGTTCATACTACCTTCACCTTTGGTGTCCAATTATACACATGAAGCAATACTTTCTGTATGGCACCTAACAATGAAATGGGCAACAATATATTTATTAAGTGGAAAAACTTTTAGAACACCAGGGGATACTTAAATCAAAAGATTTATTCATTCAGTTCTAGGAGGCTTAACAGGAATGTGTGCGTTAAATTACTATACAGGCATATGTGTAAGTCTCTGTTGGAAGGTCGGTAATTTAAGGAGGCAGGTACTTTCCCTTTATAATGGCTTCAATATTCACTTTGGATATTGTTGGTTAATTTTATACTAGAATTTTGAAATCTATGCAGAAGAACCATGTAGGCTTTTTTTTTTCCTTCTCAAAGCATTCAATACTTTCTAATCCACAGTGAAAACTGATTATAATTTATGTTTAATTGATCCAAAATTGAGAAATATCTCATTCTTTTTAGTGTATCAAAGTAGCCTGTAGCCAAAGCCATCTTTATTGTGACTAGAGGAGGCAGACACTGGAAATATATGAGGTTCAATTCTGAATGCCTTTTATTAATATCTACTGTGTGTACACCCAGCCCTATCCTAGGATATAATAAGAAATACAGAAGAAAAGAAACCATGCTTTTTATCTTCAGAGAACTCAGATTCCCTTTGGAGGGATAAGTGCATGCACATGAAATGACCAGAGGATTCTCACTTTTGGAGGGCTTAGCCTGCATTGCCTATTTAGGTGTTGAGGGTAAATACAAATGGACAGACAGGTCCCTGGGGGTACACTCAGTTGGGGAAGGTGGAATGGCTGTGAATGGGGAGAGCTACCTCTGACTGCCAACAGTATGCAGCACCTTTTACCCATTATCTTATAGGTAGTATCATCTGTGATATAAATTTAAGTTCTTTGAAGTCAGGTGTTACGTCTCCTGCAGCACCATTCACAGGCGCTTTCACATTGTTGGTGCTTAGTAAAATGCCTGCTTCATTAAAGACTTGAAGGAATAATTTGCATTTCCAGAAAACTCTTCAAAAGAGCAAAAAGCTTCTGAGTTACAGACGTAGGAAGCTGAATCTGATTAAAATCAAGGACTCTAGTATTTGCAGTTTTTGAAGGAAATGAAGCAGAGGAGAGAAGTATGCAGCTATTAAAATTCGTTGCTAAATGTCATCTTTAATTCTTCATCTGTATACTTTTAAAGTCAAGAATTAACAATTTCTTAGTGTTCAAGTAATATACTTTGTTGTTAACACATATTTCTTCAACCTACTCACTCCTTCCCACCCTGCAGCCATTGCTTTGAATTTTTTTCTTCTCTAAAGTTTTATATACAACAAACAGATAATGTTTAATTTTGATAGATGGGAGTCCTCTCTTGCATTAGCAGTATACTAGATCGTGAAAAGCTTAAACAGTTCTGCAGTTTCTTACTGAATTCCTAATTTTGCCTTAATAAAAAGAACTTACTTTTGAGAAAGGTTATCTTCTTTCTTTCACATGTATAAACAATGTTTAGTTGCTTATTTCAGCTGTCTTCTGAATGCTTGCTCTCTGTGCAGTTGATGAACTCCAGAAACGAGTGAACCAGTCTGAGAATTCAGTACCTCCACCACCTCCTCCTCCACCGCCACTTCCCCCTCCACCTCCCAATCCTATCCGGTAAGCACATCCAGGAAGACTGCTTTGCATCAAATGTTCTTCCCCATTAGATTGTGCCATGAGAGGAGCCATACTAAAAGCATGAAAGATACTAGCTGGTGCTTCTCTTAGAAATTTTTCTAAAAGCCAGTGATATGGTTTGGTTGTGTCTGCACCCAAATCTTCTCTTGAATTGTAACTCCCACAATTCCCACGTGTCATGGGAGGGACTGAGTGGGAGGTAATTGGATCATGAGGGTGGGTCTTTCCCATGCTGTTCTTGTGATAGTAAGTTTCATCAGATCTGATGGTTGTTATAAAGAGGAGTTCCCCTGCACAAGTTCTCTCTTCCCTGCTGCCATGTAAGATGTGACTTGCTCCTCCTTGTCTTCTGCCATGAATGTGAGGCCTACCCAGCCACGTGGAACTGTGAGTCAATTAAACCTCTTTCCTTTGTAATTACCCAGTCTTGGGTACGTCTTTATTAGCAGCATGAGAATGCCCTAATACAGCCAATGTATTTTTCCCTTCTTGTAATATATAAATTTCATTCAATAACATTAAATTTTCCCTTTAACAGTAAGACCAGGGAATTTCGAGCCTCTCCAGAATGTGTTTACTTTTCTCTCTGACTAATTCGAATTTGAAAAGCTCTGGTTTGTTCAATTATATTAAAAATAAAAATGCTAAATGAACATACTACTTATTATAAACTAGTAATTAAATTAAAAGTATTAATTTTATCCATATCCTCATATTTACACCTTTAGTAATGCTAAGAAAGATAAATTATGTTTAAATTCTTATGACAGGAAGTCGCATATGCAGACAGGAATTCGTATTTTCTGAAACCCAAGGTGACATGGTGGCATTATGCACCTCACTTGAGCACAATACACACTAGGAGACTTAGAGTCAAATTTTGCCTTCTTTGTGTTCCACATGCCACCATCCAGAATTACATAAGACAGCCTCCTTGCCATGGTGACAACTTACCTACTCATGTCATGATGTTAGCTGCTTTTGTATAATTTATTCTTTAATAAATGGCATTTAAAAACTTTTGCTAGGTTTTTTACCTTTCATTAACTCATGAGATTTGTTTAATCCTTTCACACAGAAAAGCCGTTTATTCATGCTTTGCACCTTTGCTGATCCATCTGAATAGAATGTGTAGCATGTTCCTCCCACACGACTATGAAAATGGGACTTTGCGTTTTAAAAAGATTCTCATTAGTTTTCCTTACTGAGTAGGGTATGACATAATCTACTTTAAGCCATTGAAGTAGTTAAGGCAAAATAATTTTTACACGTGATCGATCCAAGAGTCAATTGAAAGAATTTCAGGTATTTTAAAATCTTTCTCTCCCGGGTAGCTAAATCTGTAGGCGATATTCTGGATTTGACATTTAAAATTGGAAATTCATCACTTTGATCTTTCTCTAAGGTCTAGGATTTTGAGCCGATAAGAAAGGTCACTTCTGTCTATGAGGAGGGAGAACGATTAAAAAGTAATTACAGTCTTGCTGTTGGCCTTTAATTTTTATTCTCAGAAATGCTGAGAGCCCCTAGAATTAAAAGTAAAATATAAGCTAAGTAGAATTTTTTTCCCCAAAGAGCACTTTACAGTTACACTGAGAAATGAGTCTTCGGGACTATGTGTGTCTCAAGTGTGAACTCTTTATAAGGCTCTTTACAGAAAATTTTATGAATAATATTAATGCTTTTTATTTTAAGATGAATTTAAATTGTATAGGACATAATTTTGATAGAAAAGAGAGTTTTTTTGTGAGAAATGCTTTCTTGTCCAAAGAGGTATATTTGCATATGTATTTAGTTTGAGTGGATTTTGAATTCATAGATGAAGGTTTTCTAACTTTGTTCCTGACCCATTTCTTTTACCCTGATGTGTAAATCATGGTTAGACATGTAAGTGGGAGGGAAAAAAAAGACTACGGCCTGTGGCTTCTTTTTGTTTTTGTTTTTTTTTTTGAGATGGAATCTCATTCTGTCACCAGGCTGGAAGTGCAGTTGCATGATCTCGGCTCACCATAACCTCTGCCTCCCAGGTTCCAGCAATTCCTGCCTCAGCCTCCGGAGTAACTGAGACTACAGGCACATGCCACCATGCCTGACTAATTTTTGTATTTTTTAGTAGAGACAGGGTTTCACCATATTGATCAGGCTGGTCTCAAACTCCTGACTTCGTGATCTTGCTCTGTTGCCAGGCTGGAATGCAGTGAGGTGATCTCAGCTCACTGCAACCTCCACCTCCTGGGTTCCAGTGATTCCCCTGTCTCAGCCTCCAGAGTAACTGGGACTACAGGCGTGTGCCATCATGCCTGGCTAATTTTTGTATTTTTTAGTAGAGACAGGGTTTCACCATATTGGTCAGGCTGATCTAAAACTCCTGACCTTGTGACCTACCTGCCTCAGCCTCCCAAAGTGCTGGGATTACAGGTGTGAGCCACCATGCCAGGCCGGGCCTGTGGCTTCTTTAAGTGGCCTTACTGCTTTTCCCTTCTCTTTCCACTCATTTGACTTCAGGAATAGGTAGAAGAAATAGGAAGAAGGCAAACTTTGGTCACTTTGTCCCAGAGATAGTGAAAGTAGGATAGGTTCTAGGCAGATATGGGGAGAGAGTTGAGGCTATTAGGTGTTTTTTTCTAGAAAAACAGAACCAATTGAGTGTGTGTATCTATAGATACAGATATAGGCAAATATATATATATATATACAGATTTATTGTAAGGAATTGGTTCATATGATTATGGAGGCTGACAAGCCCCAAGATCTGTAGGGTGAGTTGGCAAGTTGGACACCCAAAAGAGTAAATGGTGTGGTTCCAGACTGAGTCCAAGAGCCTGAGAACTGGAAGAACCTATGGTGTAGTTTTATTCCAAAGTTTGACAGGCTCAAGACCCAGAAAGTGGCAGTGTTTCAGTTCAAGTTTGAGAGCAAGAAAAAGCCAATAACCCAGTTTGAAAGCAGTCAGGCAGGAGGAATTCCCTGTTAGCTGAGGGAGGATCCGCCTTGTTGTTCTAATTAGGCCTTCAAATGATTGGCTGAAAGCCACCGACCTCAGGGAGGACCATCTGCTTGACTAAGTCTGCTGATTGAAATGCTAATGTCATCCACAACATCCTCATGGAAACACCAGGATTGTGTTTGACCAAGTATCTTGGGCACTCTGTGGCCCGTCAGGTTATCACACAAAATAACCATCACAATGGGCATGACTGACACCCCTTGAAAAACTAACAGGTGAAAATTATCCACTGAAATGTTCAATTTTGGGATGACACATGTCTGAAATTGTATTCATTCAATTGAAATGGCAGTGAAATAGGGCTAGAGGCTATTAGTGATGGCTAGAGGTTTGATTATGGGTCCCAGAAGTCTTGACCTAGACTCCTGTGGCATTTGAGTCCTGCCTTCCCTATAGTCTGAGTTTCATCTTGACTGTTGGTTTTCATATTGTGATGATTTTCCTCTGAGCACTGTATGTCTCCAGTTTATGCTTCAACTCGGAATCCTTTAAGCTAACACTTTCTGTCATCTAGGTGGTTTTTGCTAATAAACAGATGTTTTTCTTCACATATGTGAATACACACACACACACACACACACACACACTCTCAGCAGTACAGAAAAATTCCTGCTTCATCATCTTTATGTTCAATAATGTACTCTTGCAAAATTTCCTCACAGAACCAGAAGCAAGGTCAGTACAGAGTGTAGTTCGAGGGTAAGGTGAGGCATCTGATTAGTGAGAACCCTCCTCACACCCAGCCCACCACGGAGGTGGTAACAGGTAGACATTGGTGTTCAGTTGACAGAATGGAAAAATGAGCAAGTAAAGTTTATTTTATTCTTTATAACTTCTAGAATAATATATGCTTATTTCAAAGTTCTATGTAAATTAAAATTTCTAACTTTCGTGAAAATAATTTAATTCCATTTGGCCATTGTGAGCCCAAAGAAGAGAAACTAGACAAAGGCAGAAGCTCCTTGATTGGTTCCCAAGCTAAATAGAGCAGGATGTGGTTTTTGCTTTTTACTGTGCTTTATGGGAGATTATCCACTGAGTTGGGAATTTTAAGAAAAAGCAATTAGGAAGGGGATTAATAATGTAAGCAAAGGTAGAAGTGAAAAGTAAAAAAAAAGCTGGAAATTATGATTAAGAGATTGGAGGCTGGGCACAGTGGCTCACACCTGTAACACAGGCCAAGGCAGGAAGATCGCTTGAGGCCAAGAGTTCAGGACCAGCCTGGGCAACATGGTGGTGTTGCCCCCCCCGCCCCCGCCCCGCTGCCACCCCAGCTGTCAAAAATTTAAAAAACAGTAACCAGGAGTGGTAGTATACCTGTACTCCCAGCTACTTCAAAGGCTGAGGCAGGTAAATCACGTGAGTGCAGGAGGTTAGAGCTGCAATGAGTGGTGATTGTGCCATTGCACTGCAGCATGGGCAACAGAGTGAGACCCTGTCTCAGAAAAACAAAAAGGAAAGAAAAGAAGCATTGGGTGGTTATATCTTCTGAACAAGTGTTATTCTGTATATCCATTTGCCCCTTTTCCTAAGGGGAACATTATGCCTTTCTTTTCTTTCTTTCTTTCTTTTTTTTTCTTTTGAGACAGAGTCTCACTCTGTCACCAGACGCCAGGCTGGCATGCAGTGGTGTGATTTCGGCTCACTGTAACCTCTGCCTCCCGGTTCAAGCAATTCTCCTGCCTCAGCCTCCTGAGTAGCTGGAACTACAGGCGCACGCCACCATGCCCAGCTAATTTTTTGTATTTTTTAGTAGAGATGGGGTTTCACCATGTTGGCTTGGATGGTCTCGACTGCTTGACCTCATGATCCGCCCGCCTTGGCTTCCCAAAGTGCTGGGATTACAGGCGTGAGCCACCGCGCCTGGCCAACATTATGCCTTTCTTATCCTCCAAGTATTTGTTTTCTGTTGCTGGCTTCCTCAGGACTGTTTTGTAAGTACAGTTCCCCACTCTGAGGACATTTATGCTGCAGTTGAAGGAATTCAAAAATTCTTGATTCATTCATTATTTGGTAAACATTGTATTGAGGAAATGATAATATATGCAGATAGGTACATGAGCCTATGTGAAATTTTAAAATAATGTTAAAGTGACCATCTATATAATCACCCTCCAAATCAAGAAATAGGCAATACTGGCACCCTAATTCTTTTCTTTGATCCTTTTCCAAAGATAACCACCTTTCTCCCCAGTTACTATCTTTTATGGTGATCATTTCTTTGCATTATTTAAGAAAAATTTTCCTGCCTAATACGTATCCTAAACTACTGTAAATATCTGTATGGCCTGGTTTTAAACTTTATATAATTACAATTTTCATGTATCATTGTGGTCTTGTTCTTTTTACTCTACATTAAGATTCATCTATGTTGTGTAGCTTAAGTCTATTCATATTCACAATGTATAATTCACTTTTTGAAGGTCTCAGAATGTACTTATCCACTGTGGTGCTGATGGACAAATGAGTTTTACCAGTTCTGGGGAATTACAGAAATTCTGCATGAATATTCTTGTTCATGTATCCTGGTGCACAAGTGCTTGCCTTTCTGTAGAATATGTGGCAGTGGAATCACTGGCTCATAGGATACATATATTTTTGGCTCTACTAGATAATTACAAAGAGTTTTCCAGAATGGAATGTACTATTAATTTATATACACTGTTTGGTTTGAGAACTTCTGTTATTCCAGAAACCCACTAACATTTGATATTATCAGGGTTTTTTGGTCTGTTTGATGAATGTATAGTGATATCTCAGTGTGGGTTCACGTTTGCCTAGTAGCTAATGAAGTCAAGCACTTCTTTCGTATATGTATAGAAAATTTGGACGTCTTTTTTGGAGTTTCAAGGTTTTCATCCATTTTTGTGTTGAATTATATGCTTTTTCTCATTGATCTGTAGAATTTCTTTATATATTCTATAATGTCTTTTTCTGCATATCAAAGGCTATAAAATTTAAATATGGTCAAATTCATCATAATTTGATTTTACATAGATTTGTTTTTAAATAGACCAGAGGGTGGTATAAATATGTTTTATCCATAAGTATTTGCTCTACATCTTGCAGATTCAGATGTTTCTGTACCCATAGTTCACAAATATTTACTGGTAACATACACTTTTTAATATTAAACATTCCCTAATTCTTTCATTCTTCCCTCCCCCTCTAACATAGTACATAGATAGCTCTTTCTGAATTTTATATATGAATCTTGAAATTTTTTGTTTCTTTTTTTTTGTAAGTGTGTATGCATTTTATTATTAGTTATAGCAGTGTCCTCTCTCCAGTAATTAGTTAGGTGTTATACAGAAAAGGATGAGATGTGTTTCTCTTCTGTAAAGTGATGAAAAGTTTAATATTATTAAAAATGGAAAGTGGACTGCTTAAATTCTAGTTATGTGTTCATACACCTACTGAAGAATGAGAAACTTACTGATTATTTAGGCTCTATATATTTTATTCGTTGGATCATAAGGCATCCAGTAATCTCCCATTGATCTTTTTCTTTCTTCCAAAGATCACTCATGTCCATGATCCGGAAACGATCCCACCCCAGTGGCAGTGGTGCTAAGAAAGAAAAGCCAACTCAACCAGAAACAAGTAAGCATCACTTCTATTTCACTTAAGTGATTGATGGTGTAGTTTTGGGGCAATTCACTTATTTGTTAAGTTTTTTGCCTATAAACATGTCGTTGGAAGAGAAATATGAAGCACTGAACAGCTGTCAGAATGAACCAGTAACCATCATTGCCTTCCTGTAGTTTGTTATCTAGAGGAAATAAACATGTACAACTCACTGTAATGAGAGACATACTGGCAAACATGTTTCTATTAAGGGTCAGGGTACCTTGTAGTGTACAGGAAAGAGAGGGAGTAATTCCAAATGAGGGGTTTGAGGAAAGACTTCTTAGAGTTGGTAGCAAGTGAGCTGGGACTGTATCAGGCTCTTAGTATGTACTACTCCACTTTTGTGTGCTGGAGGTACACGATATAGAAGTTACATTCTAGTGTAACTAGGAGGAAATAAACAAGTAAATATATAATTATTTAAATGCAATTAAGGAGTAGTACATGGTGCTAAGAGATTGTGGAGGTGGACTGCCGGCATCTGAAAGTGATGTTCAAGCTGAGTAGTTGTACATTTAGAACATTGGGTAGGTTGGGTGGCGGTGTTAACAGTAAGACTATTTCAGATAGAGGAGCAGTGGATTTGAAGGTCCAAAGTATCTAGGAAGGAACTTGGCATATTAGGAAACTGAAAGAAAGTTGATATGGCTGGAACATGGGGTCCAAGAGAGCAGGTCTAATAATAGGTAGGCAGGAGCCAAATTCTGGAGGCCAAGGTCAAGGTTCTGGAATTTCTCCTAAGAGCAGTAGAAGTTTTAAGTAGAGGTATAAATATGATGAGATGTGTCCTTAAAAAGAAAATCTCACAGGCTGCAGTGAGAGAACAGACTGTAAAGGGATTAGAGTGGATGAGGGAAGACTATTGCAGTCATTGAGATGAATGTTGATGGTAGCTTAGATGAAGGTGGTAGAGGCATGCATACATTCAGGAACTATTTAGGGAGGTAAAATTCACAGGACTCTGGTTCATTGGAGATAGAGGTATAGAGGACAATGATAAGATGGGAATGGAGGGAGATGGGCCCTCCTGTTGAGCAGAGCCAGCAGATGGCTAGATGCAGTGGAGTCAGTTCACAGACACCAGCAGTTTGGTGTGCAGCCACAGTGACAGCAGAGGCTTAAAACAAGGGGGCCAGATCTTGGTCCTCTGTTCCTGCTGGTCGCATTCCATAGCCTCCATGCAGATTCTGGACAGACAGCTGGTATGTTCTCGACTCTTTGTTCTCCTGTTTATCCTATTTTATTAGTATAAACAACATGGTAATGAGTAGCTTTGCATGGTGACAGCATTTTGCTTTAAATTCTGTTACTTTTAAGAATTTAATGTCTCGCTCTCTACCTCTACTCTGGCTATGGTGTTTTGAGTTATTTCCACCTCTCTCCGGCTGTGCAGATTGCAAGCTCTTTGAGGGTTTACTCTTCTTGGCAGCATCCCACTGCTGTCATGAATATTGAATGAATTGAAGTTTGGACTTAGTTTTTTCTTTCTTAGTGGGAATCTTGCAGCACCATTACAAATGAAAGCCGATTTCATCTCTCAGAATTGGCTTTCTGTGCCTGCGTTCTGCAATCTTTTGGAATATATTCCTCGGCACATTAATGGGGCTGAAAGGCAAATTCTGCATTGCACCAGGCATTACAAGATTCTAAAGCAGTTCTCCTGCCATTGGTGATTTGCTGGGAAGACCCGCTCTTGGGTTACTGGCTATTTGCATTTCCTGATGCTGTAATTTACATTTTGTTTCAATTTTTGGGGGGGGAGATAATTGGTATATTTTAGAGGAATGCTGGGAAATTGGAATAAAATGAATTTTCCTTCCAAGTAAATTACATCATCAACTTGTCAAACAAAGTCCCTTGTCAACTTTGATAGTACCCTTAAAATAAAAAGAAAAATTATTCTAAAATGTCTTAACCCCCAGTTTTAGGCACCATACAGTTTTTCTTACAAAAATGATGTTTTATTTATAATTCATTAAACGCGACAGTATTTTTTCCCCACATCCTTGGGTTACCAGATTGCTATTTTGGGATTCTAAGGAGAGTTACCAACATGGAAGTTGCTCTTGAGATTTTAGGCTGGAGCAACCCTAAAAATCAAACAGCCTTGAGTAATTCATACTGTACTCACACGTGGCTGAAGCAGTACCCTCTTTCTATCTGGCAAGGCAGTTATTTATAGTGGCTTATTAATAGGTCGCACTGAAAAAATAGTTGTTGAGTGAATAAATCAATAATGGTTAAATGCATGATGAACTAATGGTTAAATGCATAATGTAGACATCCATCATTGGGATTCTCTGTGACACTTTGGGGTTTACATTTATAACATAGTGACTGGTCTCACAGTCACTGTGTTTTCTTAAGTTAGCATCTTATGTTGGCATTTAACATACAGTTTGTAAGGCTTTCAGAGTTTTTAAGTAGGGAAACTTTTACTCCTTACTTATGGCTCTTAAAAAGCTTCATTGTTAAGGAAGGACTGTAGAATATTTTATATGTAGTTTTAAGAGTTGAATATAAGACATCATGATAAACTCTGAATATAGTAACTCTGATTTTGACAAGAATGTATTTATTAGGCAAGTTATGGATTTCAAAGGTCATTAATTTATTGATATTTTCTTACTTCACTGTGCCTTGATTTGCTAATCTGTAGAATGGAGATAATATTATTTCCTATTTCACAAGGTTGTTGTGAGAATTAGTGAGTCTCACAACATGAAAAGTGTTTAGAGTAGTATCTAGCACAGAAAATACTCAACATGTTAGCATGGAAAACACGGAGAAGGTACCAGCCATCCTTTGGGAGGGGCAAAGGGAATCCTCATCCCACAGGTTCTTGTGATTATCGTAGCTAAGGAAATTTCTTTAACTTTATGACCTGATGTCAAATTTGAACTTAATTCAACTATAATATATTCTGTAGAAATTTGGTACATCATAGTGGAATAAGATTTTTTTTAAATTACCTTTTAAAAAAAGTTAGTGAAAGAAATAGTAATCCTGTGGAATTTGGAAATTTATTTTTATTTCTTCTAGGTAGTAACAGAAGGTTTTATTTAGTAATAAGGTGATGGTTTTGTCTGTGGGTCTTTTTTCTTTTTTTTTTTTTTTTGAGAACTAACTTATTTTTCAAGAGGGTCTTAAAATTTAAGCCCCAATTAATTACATTTAGCTTTCTGATCCAAGACTGACCTTGAAGCACTAACTCAAAGAGCATTTGATTTTATTTTTCTGTGGCAGTTCAATAACATTAGACCTGTTGTCTTCATTTGTCCCTTTTCTTTAATCTCCAGTATCCTGCATATTTCTATTGTCCCCCTGATTACATGCTTTTGTGAGACAATTACCAACTGTGTGATTGCAGAAAGAATTACAAAACATACCATGAGCTCTCTGTAGGCAGTTCTTGCAGATTTATTAGAACTGCTTAATAGTTTAGAAGTTCGTATAGAATGCTTTTTGCTAGTTCAAAAACAGGGTCGGCAAGAGAGAAAGCTTGTGTAGCTAACCTAGCGTTGCCCTTGTATTGCGCCTGAGTAGGGAATCTGATAAGAATGATTTCTTTTCCTTAAAACCAATTAAGCCTTTACATTTGAAAAAGACTGAGAAATTAAAGCCTGGTTTATAATCTGTACACAATACAGATAGTGGCACGTCTCTGAATTATCACTATGATTCTGGCAAGCAAATATAAGAAACTACTTTAAATTCCTGCTATGTTAGATGCTGTAGCGGATTTGAATGGTGTTGACCATAATTCTCCATCTGTCTGCCTTAATTAGTTTTTGTATGGTGCATTTAATTGGGTTTCAGTCATTCCTTACAGAGTGCTAATCTGTTTGTAGGCAGTGTTCCTATTACCATGCAGCTCTTCCTAGTCTCAAAATGGCAGACTTTCTGAAAAATCAAATGTTTTAAAAATTTATTTTCTCTATATAGAGCGAAACCTCATCTTTACTAAAAATACAAAAATTAGCCAGGCATGCTGGCATGTGCCTTTACTCCCAGCTGCTTGGGAGGCTGAGGCAGGAGAATTGCTTGAACCCAGGAGGTGGAGGTTGCAGTGAGCCGAGATCACATCATTGTGCTCCAGCTCTGGGCGACTGAGCAAGACTCTGTCTTGGGGAAAAAGAAAAAAGTATTTTCTAAATTCTCAGGAATAAATCCTACACCCATACCAGGTGCTTGAATGGCAGATCCGGGTTTTCAGTAGGATGAGCAAAAGCACTGTGTAGCTCACAGCAGATACTCAGATATGGAGGAAAGGGAAGGGAGGGACAGGGGAAGGGGAAGGTATTTCTACCCATCATAATTTACTCATCTGTTCCTTTGTTGATGTTTGTGAGCTGTCAGAAGAAGCTGCCAAAGAAAATGCTACTTAAGGGTTCGTGGTTGATCAACCCACAGTTTAGTCACCTTTCACTTACTGGTAGACGAATAACTTTGGTGACCATGTTTGCCATGTTGCTTGGCAAAAGATACCTTTTTAACTTCTGGATCTAAAGATGTTGTTCAGATGTTGAGAGGTTTTAATTCTCAGCATTCCAGTGGCTCCTGAGATTGACAATTCTTCTTGAAGTTAGGACAGTATCAGAAAACCTAGGTTATACAGTGAATATAGCGGTGATCCCTCATTGGGGGCCTGTAGACATGAGGATAATGGAAACTTCTGGACTCTCTTGCTCCCCTAGGTGCTTACACAAGAGGAATGGCTACCCAGGGTTGGAGTGGAGTTTGTCCTTGTAGCAGAAAAAGAAGCCATTTAATTTAGACCTCCTCATTGCAAAGCCTGATACTAGAGCTAATTAGCTTGGGGGTGTAGTAGGGATTGTCTGCATTTAGAAGCCAGCCTTTTGGGGTTTAGTCATTTCAAATCAAATAGTAAAAATATTAGTGGACATTTAAAGTAGAAACTACAGAAGTCAATCGTCAGTAGAGACTTGTTGAATGCCCACCATATTGCCAGGCAGTGTAGAGTCTATTAAAGATGCTAATAAGAAGTTCCTTATGAGATAAACTCAAATATGTTGGCTGCACTGAGCTAGATGAAGGTAAACACAAGACCTAGAACTGCATTAATGGTGATAAATGTTCCGAAATGGTTCTGTGATTTTGGTCAAGCTATTCTATAAGAGAGACATTTCACTTTTCTAATCAACAGATTTAAATTCACCTCAGTTACATTCATTCAACTGATAACACATCTCCACCTCTTTTTTATTTTATTTTTTGCAGCAAAATAGTGCCAAGGTTAAACAATAGATAGTTGAATTTTAAAATCACATGTAATTACTTAATTGTAACTATTGCTGCATGTATGTCTTTCTTTTAGCATTGACAATTTTAAAAGACTTGAGAAAGTTTGGCTCAAATGTTTCCTTTGCATGTGAACAAAAGATGGCAATTAAAAAATATATTTTATTTATGTGCTGCTTGTCTTCTGACTATAGATTTATTCCAACAAGGAAAACATCTGTTTGACCTTTTTTCACTAATGGATTTCTGGAAGTTGTTTCTTTTTGGGGTGGATTTCTTTGACATAAGATGTACTGTGAATTGTAAAAATATCTTTTGAGTCAAAGATTAATTGGGATTAGGCGCAAAGTTGCTATTTTTTAAAGACCTGGAGAAATGTTGACAAAAGAACAAAGTCTGCCTTGTTGACAGAGGGGAAACAATATTGACTTGGATCCATGCTACAAATTTTTACAACTCTTATTTTTCTAATCAGATTTTTGTTTTTTTGAGATGCAGTTTCACTCTCGTTACCCAGGCTGGAGTGCAATGGCGTGATCTCGGCTCACTGAAACCTCCGCCTCCTGGGTTCAGGCAATTCTCCTGCCTCAGCCTCCTGAGTAGCTGGGATTACAGGCACATGCCACCATGCCCAGCTAATTTTTTGTATTTTTAGTAGAGATGGGGTTTCACCATGTTGACCAGGATGATCCCGATCTCTTGACCTCGTGATCCACCTGCCTCGGCCTCCCAAAGTGCTGGGATTACAGGCTTGAGCCACCGAGCCCGGCCTTCTAGTCAGATTTTTTTATCTAAAAAATTTTTATTTAAATGTTGCTACTTGATAGCTGTTAACCTTAGTAAATTTTTGGTGTTCTGCAACTGTGAATGAAAAATGGCTGTGATTAATTACATAGTGTAATTTTTCCAAGTCACCAAAAATAGGAAGTAGCTGTTTTCTTGTAACCTAAGAGGATTTATGTATGTGTTCTTTGAACAGCTGAAGAAGTCACAGATCTAAAGAGGCAAGCAGTTGAAGAGATGATGGATAGAATTAAAAAGGGAGTTCATCTTAGACCAGTTAATCAGACAGCCAGACTGAAGACAAAGGTATGGAGTGACTAAATGCTTTTTTCCCTGCTTGCTACTTTTTTTTTTTTTTTTTTACAAATTTGAATTTGATGAATGCTGCATCAGGACTCACTGTCAAATCTTAGGATAAAGCTAGTATGTCGTGAAAGTGTTTACTTCCATTAAGCATGTTTCAGGAACCTAAATCAGTGTGAAAACGAAGCCATGTTATTTTTGGGGTGCGGTCGTCACATTGCGAGAAACAGTGATATGGATTGTTATACCAAACAAATAACAATTGTCACACCCTTTCTTTTCTTTGATTCCTGATTCTTTTGTGTGATTCTATTGATTATCTACTATGTGTCAGATACTGTTTTAGGCATGGGGGATAAAGTAGTGAACAAAATAGGCAAAACCCCTCACCTTTCTGAGGCTTCTGTTGTAAGGGGGGGTATCACATAATAATAATGGAAAAATAAAACTAAGACAACTTTGGGGAAAATAGTGAGACTTCTATGGTTGTTTTTCATTAATTTCACAAATGTATTCCAAGTCACTTCAAGGAGAAAAACTGTCTCCTCAACTAGACCACAGCGAGCACTCCAGGATCTGTGAAGGCTCTTAGAGTCCCGTTCATGATCTTTCCCCTGCCTTTGTATATCTGCTACTGTTAAGTAAGCCCAATAATAGTTTTCAACATTTTTCTTGAAAAAGATTCTTTCTCCTTTCTAATTAAGTATGGACTGACTGGTTCTTCCTCTTTCTCTTCTTCCTCTTCTTTCCGCTTCTTCACTAACCTTTATGGTTTGGTTCTTTCTCCTTCCTCAAGGCTGCCCTGCTTCAACTGCATGAAATGTCCCCCAGCGTTACGACTGTTCAGTATACATTCTGATGGGTTTTCTTTTTCTTTCCTTTTTTTTTTTTCACTTTTAAGATGGAGTCTTGCTCTGTCACCAGGCTAGAGTACAGTGGCAGCCTTGGCTCACTGCAGCCTCTGCCTCCCAGGTTCAAGTGATTCTCTTGCCTCAACCTTCTGAGTAGCTGGGACTACAGGGGTGCACCACCATGTCAGCTAATTGTTGTATTTTTAGTAGAGATGGGGTTTCACCATGTTGGCCAGGATGGTCTCCATCTCTTGACCTCATGATCCGCCTGCCTCAGCCTCCCAAAGTGCTGGGGTTATAGGTGTGAGCCACTGCGCCCAGCCTCTGATGGGTTTTCTAAGTTACCACTTTGTCACAGGCAGGCAAGATAGCTAGGCCAGGCTAGAGTGGCTGTAGTGTGGGCTGTACATGGGACAGGACTGGGAAGAGGAAACGAATACTCAACTCTAAGAGTAAATTTACATCTAAGGAAACAGTAGCTTCAGCCAACCACGTAAAATAGTTCAGTCTTGTGCCCATATTCTGAAAGCAGTTTTCTAAGTAAAGGATGAAATGTAAAACTGGAGGAGAAGCTGAGTGTGTTGAATGATCAGGCACAGCTGGCCCGGTGCTGGTGTCTGGCGAGAGAGTGAAGAGCAGAGCTGTTGGAGCTGGGCCCTGGCACTGTCACCCAGCTTCCCCACACTTCTTCTCTTCAAGATGGGGATAGCACCCGGTCTTATCTGACACATGCGGTTGTTGTCAGGATCAAATGGAATAAAGTGTGAAAACACTTTAAAATGCAAGGTCTTAGTGCCACCTTTGAAAAAGAAGCCGTTTTTATGACTTTTACATCACTGCTATTTATGGAAAGAATAAGCAAAAACAAACCATTACTAGAGAAAAATGCAGTGCCATAAAGAAACAAAATTCATTTTGAAAGAAAAGGTTGAAAATTTCTTAAATCATGAGCAATCAGTGTTCCATACATACTTTCATTTTCACTTCGTGCTTTTTCAGAATATCATTTTGTGCTTTTTTCTTCTTCCCATAACTCCTCCTGCAGTTACACATTATTTAATGTCAATTAAAAATCTGGGAAGCAACTGAACAAGGATCAGTGGACAACTGGGTTTTTTGCTGGTAATCTTAAACTGTGTAGATACAGTGCTGAATGACCTGGTCAATAACTTTAAAACAAATGATCACTGCATGCTTGAGGACAGACGTCTTCCCCTAGTACCATCCGGGCTTTCCTGAAATGTCACATATTGTGACATTGTGTGGTCCAGGCTTCAAAAGGAATCACAGGGCAACCTGAGTGGCATGGCAGCACTTTTGGGTATGCCTCAAGGCAGGTCATTTGTTTGAACATCACAGCTTGTCACCTGAAGAGGTGACCTGCAGAAGTCAAGCATGCCTTGAGAATGTTAATTTAACCGCTTATTTTCTAAATTCCTTGGTCATGGTGGTGGTGCCAGTATGGTTGAAATTAGTGTCTTAGTGCTTACTGACTGGCACTGAGGGCATGTGTATTTCACAGAAAATCTGTGCTATGAGAGCTGAATAGCTTTGTACACAAGCAGCAAACCTCTCTCTGTCTCACTTCTTCTCTGTTTTTAAAATTTGAAATGGGGTCTTATTTTTTAATTCTGTTTTGAGAAAAGGATTATAGGTTGCCATTGATCACCTTTCATTTTCTGATGAGAGAGAATATAACCTTACCTCTTCTCCAGGAATAAGAGGCTCAAGAAGTTCCTTTCACCATGTCTTGCAAGTTTCCCCTTCATCTCTGTCCTTCATGAAAGGGAGTGGTACAAGGGAGATCAGAAGTCTTTCCTGAACTTATTTTTCATGAGGGCCTCATGCTAAATTTTCTCTCCATTAAATTAGTTGAATGATCCACAGAGATCATTAGGTATAGTGGGGTATACACCATATCATACCCAGAATTTACTTCAAATTACTTTGTTGATGGTGTGGCCAGAAGAGAGCTGAGCTTGTAATCCAGACACCTGACTCAAATACTACCTTGCTCAAGCCTGACTTTGCTTCCAAGATGAATGATCGGACTACACGTCCTCTGAGATCTGACTGCTCTGGCAGCCAGCCATGCTAACATTTCTCCTATAAGCCAGGTTCTTTGCTGGTCCCTGCTCTCTCGACTCAGTCCTCTTGTGAAATTCTTGTGAGAAGACATGCCAGGCCCCTGTAAGCTAAACTCCTCCTGGAGCTGGTGGAGCTGAGAGAGGTTTTCTGCCCTGTGGCTTGCTTCTGCTCTGCACTGCCTTCTTCCTAGTCCCTGCTTGGTGGCAGAGTCCAGCAATGCAAGTGGAGGGTAGTTTATTGTAAGAAGCTCTGAATAATTTGGAATCAGATCTTTGAAATCTGATGTCTACCAAATTTTTTCTGCCTGTGGTGATGATCAGGAGGTAACAGTGTGGTATTTAGAAGAGGGTAGCTTGTCTGCTTTTGCTTTGAATATAACTTCTTACGTTTTGTTTAACTGCTACTTGGGAGCACTAACATGGCTAATATTTTTTCCTAACCTTAAGGCATAGATCTAATTAAAAAATATATATTGTCATACATATTACAAATATAAGACTACTAATACTTCATGTAAAAATCATTGTTTAGTATTTTGGAACTGAATTACTCAGTAATTTTTTTTCTTTTTAAAATTATAGCCAGAATCTTCAAAAGGCTGCGAAAGTGCAGTGGACGAACTAAAAGGAATACTGGTAAGAATAGATCTCGGTTTATTGTTTAGCTAATGGGGAAATGGAAGGAGAGTATTTTAAAATCTGTTTTTTTGTGAATTGTTTGTGTGTGTTTTAGTCCCATTTACAATTAGCCTCATCTTTAGCCAGTTTATTTGATTGTGCTTACAGATCGTTTCATCACATTTGTTAATAATGTTTCAAATAACACTGTGCTGTTTTTATTCTGAAAGAGTGGTTATACTTTCACCAAAGTCACTGTTTCCCATTCTTGCCCTCCAGTCCCATCACAGCATGATGATGAAGTGTCTGGCCCTATGTAAGGATCCGTACATTTTGAAGAAAAACAGAAATACGATAGATAGTGCTTTACTTTGAAGCCCGAAAGGAGAATCCTAAATGTGAAGCTAAGTTCCTCCCCAAATAGCTTCATATCAGGATCACAGTCTGCCTTTCCTCACCATCGGAACAATTATTTGATGATAAATTGAAGAATAAAATAAGAGGCTCTTTTTTATGTTACTAATTTCATTTTCTCGAGGTTGGAGAGCATGCTTCGTGTCCCTCCCTATTCACAGTTCTGCTTTTCAAACTGTGAGCTTTAGCCAACGGAATCAGTGGCTACTGCACTCTCCAGCAGTTGCTGTCAGAGACAGATGCCTCACTTAGAAAATGTTTCAGATACTCAGAGCTCTATTCTCAGATCCTGTTACAGTCCCAATCCCAGTTATTATGCACAGTAAGTCAACAAACATGGGGGCGGAGGTACAAGACTGAATCCCATGTTTGTTGTTGCTGTGCTAATTATGCATTGCATGTAGACATCCACATAATTGTGGTAAACAAGATTGTTTTCATCAAGCATGTCTTTAAACAGTAGACTTAACCCAGAATGGCTTAATTAGTTTGCTTTAGTTTTAAGTGAGTGGGATTAGCACTGAAGAGAGGTATATCACTGGCTAACAGTGGTGGTCTACCTACAGAAGAATAATGTATTAAAGGCATTGAAAAAGCATGTGGTGATTATCTAATGGATTCTTTGATCAGAAAATCTGTTATTCAGTGTTGTATTAAGGAGAACTCCTTTGACAGTCTCTTTCGTCGTGTTTGTGTTATGATGCTAATTCATGTTCATAAACATGTGCCCTGGGGCGCAGTTCTGGTCAACAGTGAAAGAGGAAACTATATTGAGTTTGACTTTTTAAAAATTAGGTTAATTTTGAAAATCAGACATCTCTATGAGATAGATATGATAATATTTGATTAGCCATGATATCCCATTCTCTGAGAATGCTGGATGGTAGCAGGTTTACTGCATTACAGCATTACTCTTAAATACCATATTCACCATAATTTTGTGCCACTTGGAGGAGAGAAATTTGTGAAAGAATTTATAAATTATATAAAATTTGAAGACATCTTTTTTATGCAAATTGCCCCATCCTCCTTCCCTTGCTTCTATCATTGGACCTCTCTGTCCTACCTGCATTAAATGTATCACTAGGAGTTGCTACTCTGACAGTAGGATTTATTTGCATTAAGTTTTTTAAAAAGTAGAACTCACGATTCTCTCCCCTACTCTTTGCCAAGTGGCACTTCTTCTCTTCCCCCATAGAAGTTTCTTTGAGGGAGGATGGACTATTTGTAATTCCCAGTCACTTGGAGCCTACAAACCATACACATTCTTCTAAGAAAGAGAGAAAAAAAAAAGCTCCTAGTGCAGCCTGCCAAACATTTGGGTCCTGAGTGGTGCTTGTTGCTGGAGTTCACACTATTCGGATTATCGAAGTTAGTGCCCTGTAAAGCACATGGTGCCAACCTCATAATCATGGCGTGTAAGAAACAAGGTGGAACACGAAAAGCCTACAGTTGTGTACTGAAGTGGAAAGCAAGCACCGGAACCAGGGGATATCAAGAAACCAAGAAACATAGTGTTCAGTTCTGTTGTAGAACAGAACCAGGAAGAAGCTCAGTGTGGGTTATTTTTGATGAAATGGACGTGACCCGTAAGACTTAGTGACATGGCCTTCTGCTAAGTTAGCCCACTGGTAGAAAACAAGGCTCTGGTTTGGGGGAGTTTGAAAACCCTACTCCATTTTTTGAGTTGAACAATTTTCAAGCCAATTTTTAATGTCTCAGTATTGACTGAACTCATTTTTCCAAACCTACTTATGCTTACGTTTTAAAGCTGGATATTCTGTAGATACAAATATGTATAGTCCATTTCTCATAGTCACAAAAGGTTTTGAGGTTTAGGAAATGAAGCCTTTTGAGTCACCACAGTCACTTAAAAAGCGACTCTAAGTGACAGTGGTGATTTCTGAAGAATAAATTGATGCAAATTAAAATTGTCTTCTCAATTTCAATTGGCTCTAAATCCAAGAACTAAAAGCAACTTTTAAAAAATTATATTATGGGTCTTTTCCAGTCATCTTTGGTTTTCCAAAGTACCTAGACATTTTTGAATAATTTTGTCTGACAATTAGATTAGTCAGTATTATGAACATTTAACTAGCATGGAGCCTAAGATCATTAAATGATCGCAGTGCTTTGAAGTAGAAAAAGAGTACTGATTTGGGACTTGGGAAATCTAAGTTCTAGATCCAGCCCTATCAGTGACTTACTGTGGGACCTGGCCCCAGATCCTGAGGCTCACTGAATTTGAATTCTCTTTTCTACAAAGTGAAGGAATTACATGTACCACAGAGTTTCTAAGTTAATTTCTGATTCTCAATTTTTATGATTCTAATATAAAGAGATAACTTAAATAGTCTTGGTATTTTATTAGCTGAGCTCGTCATCATTTCAGTTGAGAGTCACGCAGAAACCTTTATTTCCTCCACAATTGCCCCTGTATTGAAAGTTTACTCATATATTAGCTGAAGCCACCTCATCCGTCAGTAAATGGAGGAAGAAGTTGGGGATTCAAGGGTTAGAACGTGGAAAATGGATTCCTTCAGTAATCAGGTATGATGAGAGAATAGCTTACTACAGTCAAGAATTTGAGGAAAGAATGCCATTGTCCAAATTAAAAACTAGAAAATATTGTGAAAGATACATTCATCAAAAAAGATATCCTTGAAAGGTATGTATGTATTTATGAACATACACATAAATTTTCCTTTAATTAAATCAAGTGATTGAGAAAAATTACAGTGTCCTTGATATTCAAACAATGTAGTAGCTTTATAACATATTTTAGTATGTTTTTCAAATATCTGTTTACAAATGATAGAGACGGTAAGTTTTTAAAAATTATAAATACAAATGATGTGGGAATAGTTGTTGTAGTACTTTTTTCAAACGTGTCTAAAGTGGCTGTAGTTCTGTTTTCTCTATCTTGCCAGTATCCGTCATACCTCATGGTGTGACCCTTCTATACAAAATCATATCAGCTATGTTAAAGAAACAAACTAGACTTTAATGATAAAATAAGCCATTATAGTGTTATTTGTGATGTGCTATTCCTTTTAATGTATTTAATGAATTTTTTGCAATAAATGAAAAGCAAAACAAGGTTTTTTTTTTTGTTTTCTTTTTGAGACAGAGTCTCACTTATTCTCCCAAGTTGGAGTATAGTGATACAATCTCAGCTCACTGCAACCTCTGCCTCCCGGGTTCAAGCAATTCTTCTGCCTCAACCTCCTGAGTAGCTGGGATTACAGGCATGTGCCACCATGCTGGCTAATTTTTATATTTTTAGTAGAGACAGGGTTTCACCATGTTGGTCGGGCTGGTTTCAAACTCCTGACCTCATGATCCGCCCGCCTCAGCCTCCCAAAGTGCTGGGATTACAGGCGCGAGCCACTGTGCCCAGCAAAACGAGGTACTTCTAGGGAAAAAAATTATATGCCTGGTTAAAATATGAGCCTTATAATCTAATCTTGTTAGTCAGATTCTTCCCTGACAACTGTTGTATAAGTTTTGATACTTTTCTATGATTTTAAGCAGTTAGGGAAAAACTTCCCTAAAAAAACAACATAACTTGTAACATATGACTTCCTGATTTTACGAGCACCTTTTTTTGTTTTATAGGCTAAAGAAGAAACAAGTGTTACCATTTTTAGCCAGTAGAATTCTTAGAATCCTTCAGGTAGTTGGCAGGCGGGGAGGGAGCAGGATTAAGGCAACCCCAGTGAGTTCAACCATTACAAAGGCTGGCAAGGTTATTAGCCGTGGTGGACGAAAGCTACCTTTTGACTCTGGCATGAAGTCTGACAAGTTAAACCAGACTTGAGGTTCTTTTTTTCTCTGATCAAAAGATTATGGTTCTCCTGCCTTCCCCTCCCTCCACTGCTGCCCAAGTGTGTGGCACAGCTGAGAAGGACCATTTCAAAGAAATAATGGGCATCTCTTATGAAAGACTTGTTGATATATTAAATCCTTATATATCACTGAGAAGTACATCACCCAGTGTTCTGTACAAACACTTGACTAGTAATGGAGATGGAAAACCGTAGCTATCACTCTGTGACATACTTCCCAGAGGAGCCAGAGCAGGGAAACATGGATCTTTCTCTGTCTTCTTGAAAGCCAGTATCAGTTTCAGGAGGCGTAGATTTATAGCATCTCTTGTTTCCTCCAGTATCTTCTGGGCCCTGAATAATACATTAACTGTCTCCTGTGTTAAGAATGTGGAGTTAAGATGCTGACCCTTGCTTTACCCTCTGTATGGTTATAACTTCTTTCACACTGAAGTCAAGATGTGCTCTGTGCAACCCTTCTTTGGTCGGCCGCGGGAGAGCATGATGTGCCTCCTTTGACAGCCACGACGCCATGGACATCAGGTGTGCAGCCAGGGCTACTTTCTGAAGAACTGGTCACACATTTTTCAGTGCCACTATGATTTCAGTTTAGTAGCTTGTGGCTGCCATATAAAGATTTCCTTCTAAGGTGAGTTTAATATATCAATTCTCTTCTCTACCCAGTCAATACACATCAGTCTTAATCATTGATATGCAAGTACCTTCCCACTGATGAATTTCATATAGTCACCTCTTCCAGAAGTGTTCTTGTACTGTTGTTCTTCTGAAACAAAAGCTAGCATTTTACACCATCAGTAGCATCTTCTTAAATGATCCAACACTCTGTCTTGTTGAAAATGTACACATTAAAAAAAATTAATATATGGCAAATTCATTTTATTTCCTAATTCTATTCAAATTCTGATAATGTTTTCATGGTTTAATTTTTCTGTTCTTTTGTGTGTTGTATTAAGACATTAACCTTTTTGTTTTTGTTTTGTTTTCACTTTAGGGGACACTTAACAAATCCACTAGTTCAAGAAGCTTAAAATCCCTTGACCCTGAAAACAGTGAAACTGAGTTAGAAAGGATTTTGCGTCGCAGAAAGGTGACAGCAGAAGCAGATAGCAGTAGTAAGCTGGTTTGAATTCTCCACAGTCCTTCTCTTCACCTCTGAAACACCTTCTTCTAAATCCCTTTTAACATGAAACAATCTTTTACAAATTATTATTAAAATATTTATTTTTAATATGAGTGAGAAGTATGGGATGGGTTAAGATATTTATGGATATCTCATAAGAACTCTTAGATATTTTTATTTATTGATATATTTATTTATTTTTAAGTAACCAGGCCTTTATAGATCTGATTTGTTGAATGCCAGATGCCCTTGGTAAAGAAATTCAGAAAGAGTTTCAGCAACCATATGGCATCAAGTACAGGCTCTGGGGTGAGACCACCCAAGTTTGAGTCCTAGTTCTCTTGTATACTAGCTGGTTGCCCTTAAGCAAATTACTCAACTTCTCTGTGCCTCAGTTTCTTCATCTATAAAATGAGAATAATTAAAGTACTGCTTCCTAGGATTATTCTAAAGATTAAATCAATATGTGAAAAATCATTTGTAGTTGTAGTAGAAATTACACATCAGTTACAAGTGCAGGAAAATCATCTTGACACTTTGTATCCATTTAGCTTATTGTGCCTGCCTGTGAAATGAGTGACTGTGAAATTTTTTTGTGTGACATTAGGTCAGTATTAGCCTCAAAATTTATCCCAGAACTGTGCATGTCTTGTCCTGCTTCATCAGCTGGATCATGGGAATTAACAGAAACCTTCATGAGGTTTCCCCTTGTGGGCAGGCAGAAGGCTGACTTTAACAAACTACCTTAAAGTAAAATTAATCAGCAAGCACAGCTAATGGCCTAAAGCTTCCTGACTGAATTCAGTCAGCTTCAAGGAGTCTATGATAATAGTTTCAATCTGGAAAATACTGAGTCACATCGACCAACTTTAAGTAGCTATAATATTACAGATTGGTGTTTGATCATCAAGTTGTAATGTTCAGAGAGAGATTTACTCAAACAATTGAGTAAATTGATTCCTTGAACCCAAAGTGGCTTAATACCAACCAAACTTTTATTATAAAAAGACAAAACTTTTGTTTTCTTCTTTAAAAAAAGATCAGCATTCGGTTTTTTGGTTGGTCTGGAAGTTCTGTTGTTAAAAATCCTACAAGGATTCTGCCACCTACAATGCCCTCGAAAACAACTACTTCAGGAAAATTAAGAGGTTACCACAACATTTTTTTTTCTTAGAATGGCTTTGCAAGCATTACGCAGCTTGAGACTTACTCATTTTGTGACTTCATCAGTGCTTGAGTCATCCTTTTCATTGTTTCAGCCTTAAAGTTGCTCATGTAAACATTGCTACTTTTAAGGACTTTGTCCGCGTGCCATTTTAGTGCTCTGTCATTCACATTCTGTATTTTGCCACTGGCTTTTTTTATTTCTACAGAAACATTCTTACTTCACTCGTGAATCTGGTCAAAATGTACAACACTCACATTTCAGAATTAGTTTTCAGTGGAAGAAGTGAGCAAAGGTTTTCACTTCATATGGAAATTTGAATATTTCAGGGTAGAGAAAGGAATACATTTCATGTACATGGTGGGAATCTTTCATTTTATTCACTACATTCCTCCAATATACAAATATTTAATGCATTATTTTAGAATAGAAAATACACATTCAGTAGAGCCATTAATAAATGAATAGAAAAATAAGAACTGTCATTGGCTAGGTAGAGAGCAAACATACGCTAAAAGAGTGACTTGTAATTGAGCAGAAATTTCCTTTGAGTTTTCTAATAGCCAAAGCAAAAGAAAAAAAAGGAAGGAAACAAACTTACAAACTCTCATCATCTAAAGGAGAAATCATACCATTTTTTTAGGTACAAATGTTTTTCTATTATTAAACTAGAGGTGGTATTTACCATGTGAATGTTTTTATAAAGGCTCTGGAGTGACAAAGTGAAAATTCCAGGGGGGAAAGTAAGGAAGAAAGTAAAGCCACAGAGCTGCATGGTGGGAGTCAGGTGACAGAGGTGAGGAGTTGGATAGTTTCGTGCCTCAGGAACTTGAATCTCTGGGGTGGTTTTCTTCTGCCCCAAAAGGCTTATGGGAAAGTAAATGTGAGGTCACAAGTTGAGAAAGGAAATGTCAGAAGAAAGACAGGTTTGCAGAAGTAAGATATCAGGTTAATGGTTTTCTCCCCACGGGCAAAGGATGTTGTATCCTTTTCCTTAGGATTTTTCTTATGCATCTAACTGACTTTCCCTTGTTTTACCTAGTCTTATGGCCTACCAAACTGACACTTCAAAGAGCAGCGAGTGCCTCTTGGAGAACATTGGGTGGCTTAGACAGGATGCAGTAATAATAATCTTAAACTGTACATTTTTAAAAATTTCTTTTTGTATATAAGAAAAGTATAAGAGCTGTAGCTTAACTCACTACTCTCCTTCCTTTTTACAGAAAATGCATTGGTGTATTCAGAAGCAGATCTTTCTTACAAGGACAGATTGTTTAAAGCTACCTAGTATTGCAGTCAACACTTATCCAAGGGCAGAACAGAGCTGATCAAAAGCAAATCTTGAATTCAACTTCAAATTTATATCTTCAGGAACTCTAATATTAATTGATCTTTCTGCCCTTCTCTCTTAACTGCCACAGTCCCATGCAACATGAGGCTTGACATAGCTGGGAGGAATAGGACTTTTTTTTTTTTTTTTTGAGACAGAGTCTTTGTCGCCCCAGCTGGAGTATAGTGGTGCAATCTCAGCTCACTGCAACCTCTGCCTCCCGGGTTCAAGCGATTCTCTTGCCTCAGCCTCTTGAGTATCTAGGATTGTAGGCACCTGCCATCATGCCCAGCTGAGTTTTGTACTTTTAGTATAGACAGGGTTTCACCATGTTGATTAGGCTGGTCTTGAACTCCTGACCTCAGGTGATCTACCCACCTCAGCCTCTAAAGTGCTGGGATTACAGGCGTGAGCCATGGTGCCCAGCCAGAAAAGACCTTTTAAGTCAAAATATCCAATAATGTTCAAACTTGTCTACTGAGATAGTATAAGTTAAATAAATAGGGAAGACAGAAACTAATGCTTTGTAAACTGGGGCTTCCATTAGAACAGAGAGATTCTGTGTCACCTGCATAGAGCAAGGCTCAGAGAGGTGTCCAACAGAATGGCTTTACAATTTTTTAATCTCAGGTAGGTTTTTCAAATTAGATCTTCATTTTTAGAGTTGATACGTTACACTGTTATGCTGAGTACATCAGGCACATTAAATCCAAATGTAAGGATAGCACTCCAGAGCTTAATGTCACTGGTCAGAGATTAGCCAGCATTTTGGATTATACCCACTAGTACTTTCCATCTTAAGATGACCTGACATTTCTTTAGGGATAGACACCCAAGTTTTGTGCTCTTCTTACTGGCACATTTCAAGGTTATCACCTCACTTTATTTCTAGAAATAGTCATTTAATTTGCATATTTGTGACTTCATAAATCTCTTTGTTTTAAAAGCATTCCTTCTGAAGTTTCAAGAAGCACTTACTAGCATCTTGCTTTGAGAAAAACCGCCTAGGATAGAATCTTTTTACCTAAAATTAGGGGCTGGCTTCAGTGCCCAGAATTTTTAGATTGATATGCCAATAATTTCAGTAACAAGTTATATTATAGTTTTTAAATCCTGTTCTAAAGAGAGAAAAGTCCAAAAGGTAAATAGCCAAACTCTTTCCCATTTAATTTTTATGATTTTGTGTCTGTGTTTTAAGAGGAAATAAATCCACTTACTTCTCATTCACATTAAAATGAAAATGTTCATAAAAGCTCTTTAATGCTCAAGAAGCCTTCATGAGCCTTTTAGAGAGTGTTGAGCCTTTCACATTGTTCCAGTTTCTATTTAAAATGCAGAGCTGATTTTTGGGAAGAATTAACTCTTGAGAGACAAAATGGTTTAAGTAGGGCTGTCAGAAAGCCATACTCTGTGAGAGAAAAAGAGTTTTCACAATTCCAGTATTACTAAGGACCCTGGTCAGTGAGGGAATTGTGGCCTGGGATTTTGTGGTTTCTTAAAGATCTGTACACAATTTCTCAGCGTGATTCTGGTAGATTGAAACGTCGTAGTACCACCAAAGTAGAGCAGATTTGCATCAAGAACGTTCTCTACCATGCTTTTGAAATTTTAAAAAACTTGGCCTTTTCACTTCTTGAGGGATTTTCAGCTAATCTGTTTTTCAATACCATATTAATAAGCATCATACAGAATTATTAAACTTGAGGTATGTGTTTGGTTTTAAGGTCCAACCGGGATATTAGCCACCTCAGAGTCCAAATCCATGCCAGTGTTGGGTTCTGTATCCAGTGTAACAAAAACAGCCTTGAACAAGAAAACTCTGGAGGCAGAATTCAACAGCCCGTCCCCCCCAACACCTGAGCCAGGTGAAGGGCCCCGTAAATTGGAAGGATGCACAAGTTCCAAGGTTACGTTTCAGTAAGTAACGATGCTCTTTACTAAGTGGTGTATAGAAGAATCTGTAATGACTAACTTGTGTGTTTCTTTGATTTGTGTCTCTTTAGAGAGAGTTTGATTTGGCTCACCAATAAATTCTCTTCTTTCATTTGATGGGCCAGCTTTTCATTCTAGGGTTCTAACTTAAGAGATCTCATTCAGATCCAAAGCAGGTACCATGTACAAAGCTGAGCTGAGTTTTGGGAAGAATTAACTCTTGAGAGGTGAAATGGTTCAAGTCCAGCTGTCCGAAAGCCATACTCTGTGAGAGGAAAAGAGTTTTCACAATTCCAGTATTACTAAGGACCCTGGTCAGTGAGGGAATTGTGGCCTGGGATTTTGTGGTTTTTTTAAAGATCAGTACACAATTTCTCAGCGTGGTCCCGGTAGATTGAAA